TATTGTAAGATATCATTAAACATGTATATACAAAATTTAAAACGAAAATTTTTGCATTATTTTTCCAAGAGTAAAAAAAAACCTTATCGAATTTCGAGATATATTAAAAAAACCTATTACATATTTTCAATTTCTATCAATATTAAATAATATCATTTTACCCGTGGAGCTGTAGCAGCAACTTTAGCTGCTTCACTATAATTTCCACTTTGAAATAGTTGTGTAAATCTTGCAACAAATAATTGATCAGCACCTGGTAAATTACATCTTGCTGACATTTTATAAGCAAGTTCAGCATTGCCTAATGAATTTTGAATATACGATACAACATTATCTTCATCAACACTAACTGACAGAACCTTTAAAAGAAACAATAAAAAGCAAGTTTTTTATTATGATTTTTTTTTCTAATAAATTTTTATTTACTTGGCCTTTACGATTAACAGCAATAATGCCAGATGTTGGTTCATATGGCGCTGTAACAAACATTGTATCAGCACTAATACGATTCATATAAATTAATGTTCCACTTTCAACATCAAATACATGTATATAACCATATTTAGTAACTAAATAAATAACACCATGTTTTGATGATGTTTGCATAGCAACAGGAAAATCATTTGGTGCTTCAGCTGGAAATTGTACATCAATAGCTTTCTTTTGAAATGGTTGATTATCTGGTGCTGGTGCACCAACTTCAATAATATGAAGCTAAATAAGAAATTTTAATTTTAATAAATATATAAATTTCTATTACTTTTCCTCCTTGTGGTCCTCGGACAGCAAATGAAAAAAGTGTTGATGGTTTTTTATTACCATTGACTTTAAATTGTGTAAATGCAGCAGCATGTCCTTCAATTGGTTGTGATACTTTACGTTCAACAGAATAAAGTTGCATATGACCAACAACACGACTATCTTGTGCTTGAATACCTATATAAAACAAAATCAATAAATCAATAAATAATCTAATAAAAGGATTTATTATTGCTTTTTTTATCTTACCAATAACAAGTAACCATTGTAATGATTCATCTGTACGATAATTAATTATTTGACAACCAGCTAAACTTTGATGGCGATCAAACATTTTAACCGGTTGAGTATCACCTTCCGTTGTCCAATGATAAACAGATGTTTCAGTTACTATACCAATTGTATTAACACTAATCCATTTCCAAAAAATACAATCTTCTGTCATATTATATGTTTTCATTCGACTACGTAATTCAATATTAAAAATTTGTAAAGTTTTACCAGCTAATTAGAAACAAAAAAAAATGTATTTAGTTTTTTGAAAAATGATTTTGTTTTTACCTTTTAATGCAATAACTTTACTTGTTGGATTCATAATGGCTGAATCAGCTGTAATTGGTCGTTTAATTGGATTATTTGGATCAGCCATATCAATAATAATAACAAAAGCTGTATCATTAACTTTTTCACGTACACAAATAAATTTATCGGATTCCATTGTAAGTGAACTAAATCCAATATTGGTAACATTGATACCAACATTTTGAAGCTAGAAAAAATTATTATGAAATTTAAATCAATAAAAAAAGAAAAATTCTTTACTTGTAAATGTTCTTGAAATTTAATTGGTAGTTGTCCAGCCATATACGTGAGTATTTTGTTAAGATCTTTAAGATGGACAAAAAAAAAATGAAAGGAATTTTTTAGTATATACAAAAGGCAAAAAAAACAGTCGATATTTCTTTTTTTTACTTCAAACACAGTCTCTACTTTTATTCATATGATTCAAACACACAGTACTAGGTAAGGGTGAAGACTGTGTCTAATGTAAAAAATGTATCAAAAAAGAAATTTAGCCTTGCAGGCAAAATCATGATTTGTTCTTTGAGGTAGCCTACATTCAATTGTTTTCTTATCTTCTCATATACTCTACATCAAATCAAATAGTCTCATTTTCGATTGAAAGAGTAAGGACAAGGCGGAGTACAATGCAAACATAAAGCTAGGAATATGTGGGTGGATGCAGCAATAAGACATAAGAAAAAAAGGAAAAGGGATATAGATGAATGGTTGTATTCGATAATGAGTCATTCAACGACTGTTTCTTTCTTTTCTTCTCGTCGTCTCAATATGCCTCTAGTAGTACATGCAAATAGAATGGCGAAGAATCGATCAGTGATGAGAAAGAATTTCATTAGAAAATTTTGATCATAATAAATAAAAATAGTTAAAAATTTATTAATAAAAAAAAATGTTCTTTTAATTTTTGTTTTATTTAAAGAAAGAGTAGAAAGGAATGTACATATTCGAAAGGAATATATGTATATTTTAACCAATCAGAAACACTCGCCACATTTGTTTGTTTGTTTGATGACATTATGGATTGACACGTTGAACGTTTTTCATTTTACGGTTATTTTTAAATATACAGCGTGAAGGTTATTCTCTAAATCAATTCTCAATTAAGATTTACTTATATTCAGAATCATTGAGATATGAACAATCATGATGGAAAATACTAGAATGATTTTTTTTGTAACAATTTGATAGATGGTGCTCTGTAGTAGTAGTGGCGGAGCTAGAAAACCTTGTAGGAGAGGCTCAGCTTCCGTTTAAAGTCAAAAAACGAGGCATATTCTTCTCTTACAATATATGAACGTTACATTTCTGGGGTAGGAAGAGGGTTGAGATCCCTTCAAGCTCTATCACTATGTAGTACTTAATTGTGATAGAAGATTTTCATCTGATATTCAAAAGCAGAAGTCAAATACTCTATAGTGACAGTTATCTTATCAATATTCTAAGATGTTCATAGAAAAGAACATAGTAAATTGATTGAATTACATATCATAAATATCTATCATAATGATAGAAGAATGAAGGTGGGTATGTTCGTATATCATTATCACAGTGATAGGTTTTCAGTTACGATTAGAGCCTGAAATGAGACACATATCCGACCAGAGTTATCATTTGGTTTTATTCAGAAGAGAGAATAGTCAGGAAAAAAGTCTCCCAAACTTAGGGAGGAAGCATGTACAAGACAAAGAAAGCTTTTTCTCTGAAAACAGTAGTGAAAACAATCTCTTTATAAAAACAGCTCATTTTCTATGAAATCTTCAAACAAAGCTTTCTCTTTGAAAAGATAGAGAGGAAGTAAATAAGATAAATACATGAGATTTCTATCAAATTTGTATATGAAATAATGGAGATGTAGAAAATACGTTTTGGTTAATGAAATAAATTTATTTTAATGGAAATTTTCGATCTTAACTATCATTTTCAACCTTATAACACGAAACTTTAAAACAGATGTTACAACAGAGAAAACAGTTTAACTTGTACATCACTAACATTGAACATCATGACCGATGGTAAACCTATAAATTCATGTGAAATATTTGATTAATAATGCAATAATAATACGTTCCAATGATAATTTTGTATAATTGTATATCAATAATGAGATTATCATTGAATAAAATTGTAATAATTCACAGTTAGATTTATTCAAATATCTATATACTTACTTATATAACTCATGTTTATGATCTACTAACATTTATAATGATTATGTATAAATAAGATAAATACATGAGATCAGATACTTCACATGGATTTACATGTTTTCCATCTGTCATGATGTTCAAATGTTAATGATATACGAGTTATTGATGTACAAATTAATGATATCACAGTTATTATTTTTATTCATTTTGTAACTGTTTTTTCTGTTGTAACATCTGTTTTTTAAGTTTTGTGTTATAAGGTTGAATATGATTGTTAAGATCGAAAATTTCCATTAAAATAAATTTATTTCATTAACCAAAACGTATTTTCTACATCTCCATTATTTCATATACAAAAGAGAGAAAGTAGTTTTGCATTGCATGTTTTTCTTACATTTACTCTATAAAAGATTAAGAAATCCGCTAAATAACAGTTGACAAAAATTTTCTGGAAGAAAGACTTAGCACAAGAGGAAATCTAGGAAGGAGCAATTTCCCCGCTTCTTCCTCCTAACCATGTGCTGTGTATCTGACTACGCTTGAGTTCGGGATCATTCCGACAAGTACTACTCTGAGATTAAGAGACAATTATAACTTGATTTTTACAAGATTACTATGAAGGTTGCCTGAATAATGTGTATAGTATGTTAGCCACTGAATACAAGTAGTCGCAAACAGTACCTCATACCATCGAAGCAACTATCAAGTACGGATTAGATGATTTCATTAAGGCTAATGTTCGGGTTCATAAAGTTGAATTCGGTGAGATCTAGTTATGATAGTCATCCTTAATTGGCTTGACCAACTTTCTCTATATTACGATATAATATCACGAGGCAAATGCATGATCTCACTTGTATTTCATCCCTATATTTCGAATGGTATTTGAAGAATATGCAGTCTGACTTTATTCTTTTTTTGATATAACTTCTTGTATTAATACATATGGCGATCGATTCTTCTTAAAAATGAAGTTGTTGACATCGTCATCCTTATTATTTTTGTAACACTAGTTGCATTAGTTGAAATAAAATTTATTTATTAAAAATATCAATGACTTTTAGTGAACATAAAGATGACACTAGTTAATGATATGAACGAAACTGAAAAGCAAAAACGACATCTAACGAAATAAATACGCCATTGCGTATTTAAGGATATATTTGAATTACTTGTAAAAGCATCTTTTCAATTCATTAAGTTATAAAATAAGATAAACTAGTGCATCAGCGAATTTATTGTAGAACTCATAATGATTCGTTCACGTCGGTTAGTGCGCCGTCATTATTACGGCATTTTATTATTATTCATCTGCAAGTGGCGCCAACGTACTCTATGATCCCCATACGTTTTCTTTCTTTTATCGACAAGGAAAAGCAGTACAAAGCTCAGTATATTTTTTTCGACTGATGCGTATATGTGCGCCACGTGAGTATTAACTAACTAAATTTTTCTTATTTAAGATTACTTTTTTAATTCAATACATTGCAAAAAATTCATATATTATTCATTATGTTTCGAATACTGATCTTGTCTATTGTATGTTTTGTTATTGTTAATGGTAATTTAAAAGATGATATTACAGAGAAAGCATCAGCAACATTAAATCAAGCCGAAAAATTGGGAGTAAGATGCAACAAGAAGATTTATATTTAAATCTTTGTCTGGTTTTTTTTTTAGGAAAAAGTAGTTGATGGTGTTAAGGAAGGTGTTGCCAATGCTAAAGCTTTTGCTGAACCAGCTATCGATACTATCAGTGAAAAAGCTGGTAAGTTATATTTTTATCGGGAAAATTATAAACATGATATCTTTATTTATATTGTCGGATTGATTCAATTTGAAAATGCTGTTTTTTTGTTTTTTTTTTTACTTTTGAAAATAGTCGAATTTAAAATTTTTATTGTTTTTAGCTGAAACACTTAAAGCTGGTCAAAAAGCTGCTGAAAATGCTAAAGCAACAGCAAGTAAGAAACTTGATGAAGCTAAAAGTGCTGGTGAAAATCTTCGAAAAAGAGCAAGTGAAACTGTCGATGATTTGTAAGTTCATTTAAAACAAAAGAAAAAATAATTTAGTTCATTTTATAATTAAATATTTCCAGAGAAGATGCAGCTATTGATGCCGCTCAATCAGCAAAGAAAACAGCTGGCAAAGTAGCTGATCAAGCATCAAGTACATATCAATTTTTTTTTTCGTTCTGTAGATTTATTTAATTGCGTATCTTCTATAATTAGAACAAGGTGAAAAAATACAACAACAAGCAGGTAGTGCAGGTGAAAAGGTAAAGCGACAAGCTAGTGATGCTAGTGATAAAATTAAATCAGCAGCACAAGATACAATAACACAAGCTGAAAAAAAAGGTGAAGGTCTTCTTCATTCAGTTTGTAATGTTCTTACTGATATTAAAAATTCAATTCTTGGTAAAAAAAAAAATTTCAAAAAGAAAATATTTTACGAAAATCTTATTTAGAATCTATGGGATTAGCATCTAAACATACAGCTGATCTTACAGATCAAGCTAAAGCAAAATTGGATGAAGTTACTGGTAAGGCACAAAAAGCTGCTAAACAAATGAAAAAAGATGCTAAAGATACACTCGATTTATAAATAATTACAATCAATCAACCAGTAAGAATGAGTATTCATTACTTATTTCTTTCTTCTAATGACATTTTCTATTCCTCGAACCTATTCTTCCTAAACATTATATTGTGTTGTCGTTCTTTTTTTTTTATATTTTGAAATTTATCTAGAAAAAATTTAATCAAGCAAGCAAAAAAACAGCATTTATTTCCGCATAATTCCATCTAACCATTTTGTTTATTGTTCATATTGACTTTTTTTTGCTGTTCATCATATCATTCCAGATTTTTCGTATTTTCTTCTTTGAGTGTCTATTTGTTCTAAACTAGTGATATGGATACATATATATATATTGTAGACAAAATTGCTTTACAATATGTGTTTATATCCATAGGGTGGTAACGAAAAAACAAAAAATAAAGTCATTTGTATAGAGCGGTGTTTTTTTGTTTTTTCTTTGTAGTTTATTTTCTTGTGTTTCGTTGTGTACCTACATGTTTATCTTACTTTATGAATAAAAAGGAGATTGAGTAGAAACGTTTGTTTTTTGCTTTATTAATTTTTTAAAAAGAATTTTATTATTTATCTTCAGACTTTATATAATCGAATATTGTCAAATATTTAAAAAAAAGCGAACAAACCAATTATGGAAATTTTACGCAAACTTCTATTATTTATTGTTATTATATGTCATATTTCAATAGCATATGGTAAAGAAAAGACAATTAAAGATACTGTTGTCGATGGAGCTACCCAAATTAAAGATACTGTTGTTGATACAGTTTCGGATAGTGTTAAATCTGGAGCAAAACTAGCAAGTAATGCTGCTAAAACTGCCGGTTAGTTAAGAAATAATTATTTTAAAACTAGAAAAAGAGAAAGAGAAAATTTTCATTAGAAATTTTCTAAAATTAATTTTAATCTTTGATATAAATAATCACATCGGATTTTTTATATATTTAATTTAGTTAAATAAATTTTAAATAGTTATTAATATGAACTAGTGTCTTCGCCAGAATTAAAGAGAAATGGGTGTAAGTTCAATAACTGGACAATGGCAACAACTATCTACCTGTGATTTTTAGCAATCGAAAGTACATGATACTGGACGTTTTTTTGTGTGGTACTATATAAGAAAAAATCATTTTACGATCCATCATCAGCGCAAGAACATTTAAAAAATGCATGAAAATGGTGTTACATTTCGATGTACTTTTGACTTTGACATGTGTTTCACATAGAGGAACTCTTGATCTATAGCCTAAAGCATGATTCAAGTGTATATTTTCTCATATATCAATGTTGAGCAAACAAAATCACGTGAATTTATGAGTTTTAAAATAATTTTGTTTTTTATAGTATCAGACAAAAAGAAAGGTTTGGTGTTATGTTCTTTTGATTTCTGAAAACTGTAGGTTGATAGTAGTTGCTATTGTCGAGTTATTGAACTTACACCAAGTCGTCTTTAGTTTCGGCGTGGATATTAGTTCTTTTTTAGGTTCTTGATTATGTTTAATTAACGTATTTTTCTTCGTAGGTGATTATGTGGCTGATGCTGCTGCAACAGCAGCGAAAGTTAGCCAAGAAGCAGCTGCTGATGCTGCTAAAGCAACCAAAGAATATACTGCTGCTGGTGCTCAAAAAACTCAAGAAGTCTTCAATGAATATGTAAGATAAAGAAAAATTTACTCATAAGCTATATTTTTTTTATATTTTGAAGGTTGCACCTGCAGCTTCTGATACATTGAATGCAGTAAAAGATACAGTTGTCGGAGCAGCTCACGCTACTGTTGAAAAAACTCAAGAAGTCTTCAATGAATATGTAAGATCAAGAAAAATTTACTCATAAGCTATATTTGTTTTTTATATTTTGAAGGTTGCACCTGCAGCTTCTGAGACATTGAATGTAGTAAAAGATACAGTTGTCGGAGCAGCTCACGCTACTGTTGAAAAAACACAAGAAGTCGTCAACGAATATGTTATTCCTACAGCACAAGCTGGTTTTGAAAAAACTCAAGAAGTATACAATGAATATGTTGCACCAACCGCCGCAGCTGGTAGGAAACAAAAGTTCTTTTTTTCTTTTTATGAATTAAATCAAATTATTCTTTTTTTTTAGGTGCTGAAATTGTTAAAGTGTGTATTATTGATTAAAGTAAATTTTGTTAATAATTTCTTTTTTTAGGAAAAAGTTCTTGAAGCAACTGATGTTTTGAAAGAAAAAACAGCTGAAGCAACTGAGATTCTTAAAGAAAAAGCCACTGAAGCAGCTAAAGTTGGTTCAGAATATGCTGAAATATTTGGTGAAAGAGCTGCTACAGCTGCTGAAGCTGGTAATGAATATTTAGTACATGGTGCTGAAGTTGTCAAAGAAAAGGCTACGTAAGTTTTAGTTTTATTTAAAATTTGTTTTTTAGTATTCAATAAGTAAATTTTTTTGTTTGTTCAGAGAATATGCTGATGAACTTCTCAAACAAAGTCAAATTTTCAAAGACATAGCTAAAGAAAAATTTGACGATGTTGCTGCTGAAACAATCAAAAGTAGATTTACAAAAAAAATCAAGAAATGTAGAAAAACGAATAAAATTTTTGTTATTTTATATAGGCGCAAAAGAATTTGCTGCTGAAGCTTTAAAAGCTACCAGTGAATATACAGCTCAAGCCGGTGAAATGTTTCAAGAAAAAGTTCCAGAAGTTCTTGAAGGTTTGACGATTGAAATCAAAGAAAAAAAATATTATCAATTGTTTTTCTTTTAGCTGGAAAGGAATATGCAGCCAAAGCTGTTGAGCTAGGTCAAGAATATGGCAAAGAAGCACTCGAAAAAACTGAAAAATATGTTGAACAAGTATATGAAGCTGGTAAAGAAAAAGCAGAAGAACTTCTTCAAGATGCTAAGAAGAAATTGGAGTTATAAAGTTAACAACTGATCATACATCATTTTTATTTAATGTATTAAATTCAAGTCTGATTTGTTGGTTACTGATTTTCAGGAAAAAAAAAACAATTTTTCTTTCTTGTAGAACTAAGTTATAGACAGCCTGTATCAATTAATGTCAATGGTTCTTTTTTCTTCTTTATGCTTATTTGTATAAATATTCAAGCCTATGTGTTAATTGCACACATTTATGTAGTTCAACTTTTCCTTTTTTTTCTCCTTGTCAGAAAAAGCAAAATATATCGGCATTTGCTGAATTAAGCTTTTTGATATTTTATTTCTGTACACGTATGTTTTTTTTTGTTCATTAAACTTTGTCTTATTCTGTCTTGTCAACCAATCAAGGATAATGAATATGTTAAAAAGGACATACTTTTTTTTTTTTCATTCCGGAACTTTCTAAATCGAAAAGGTATCTGATGTCACTACTATCGATGAGATGTACAAGCGCGTCAATCTCTCATTGGTTACCTTTGTTCTCTTTCTCATATAGAGCAAGTTACATATATTTGTCCCTTTTGCATTCGAAACACTATTTCATTTTCATCAATTTTAAGTTGCAGATTGCGTATTTTTTTTCTCATTCACTCTTACTAAACGATGAAATTGCTTTATTCATTTTGCGCTGTGCTCTTCTTACTGATTACATTAAATAGAGCTCATACACCAGGAACAGTAACTGTTGATACATTTACATTTGAAAAAATAATAAATAATTTTGATGTTGTCTTAGCAAAATTTGATGATAAATATCGTATGTATTATTTTTTTTTTGCGAGAGAACTTCTATTAAATTTAGATTTTATTATTTCCTTTTTCAGCTTATGGAGATAACCAAGATCAATTTAAGAAATTTGCTGAAAGCGTAGCAAATACAAAAACTCTTATTCTAGCTGAAATTCCAATAACAGATTATGGTGACAAAGAAAATGAACAATTAGCTAAAGAATATAGTGTAACTAAAGCTGATTTTCCGGCATATAAATTATTTCTTAAAGGAAAATCTAAACCAATCGATTATACAGGTGATAAAACTGAAGATGATCTTAAACATTTTCTTTCCAAAAATACAGGTAAAAAGAAAAACAAAAATTTGATTTGAAATTAAAAACAAAAAATTTATAATTATTTTTAGATCTTTGGTTTGGTTTACCTGGTACACTTGAGATATTAGATCGTATATCTCGAGAATTTTTTGATGCATCATCATCAAATGACGAAACAAGTCAAAAATCATTACTTGAAAAAGCACGAGAACATGTTAAAGGTTTAGTTAATAAAAAAGAGCAAAAGAGGTAAATATATATACATATATATATATCTTTTTATAATAACTTTTGATTGTTTATCTTATAATAGTGGTGAATCTTATTTAAAAATAATGGAATCAGTTGTTAAACAAGGTGTTGATTTTCTTAAACGTGAAGGACGACGTGTACAAAACTTATTGAAAGGAAAGGTAATTAAAAAATTCAAACTTAATAAGGATCAATAATATGCTAATGTTTGAGAAATCTTCTTGTTATAAAATTGGTCTTGATATATGTATATTAAATTAATATATTGATGTTTTTTGATAAATTAAATGAGAAATTTTGAGTTTCGTAATGAGAGCTTAATATTTTAATTCTAAGTTTCTATTATGATTATATTTTATAATTTATGATTTCATTTTAGATTAACAATGAAAAACGAGAAGAATTACAACATCGTGCAAATATTCTTCTTTCATTTAAATCACTTAAAGAAGCTGTAACTGAAACACTTGATGAAATTAAAGATAAAGTTGTTGAAGCTGCTAAACAAGTCAAAGAAACTGTCACCGGCAACACAGACCTATAAATCAAAAATCAATATCTTGCCATCAATAGACTTACATAGAAAATTAGATTTTAACGTAATTTTGTTGCGTCTTTCAATAAGGATAAATGATGGAGGAGTAGTGAGAATCAAAAAACAAATGTTTGAATACAATTGATATGTTTGATTTCATTCCTAACTGCTTGTGTTTTTGTGTGTGTAGTGATATTTTAGTTGTTTTCTTTTTTTTTTGTCCTTTTTGTTTTTTTTTGCGGATGCAATACATGTAACATGTGAAGAAAAAAAAATTAGTTAACTCAAGATTTTTAACATTGAAAGTGTACGAAAGTTGACATAATGATAATAAAAACGTAGGATCTGTGATGCTCTTTTAGATCATGCCACTCTCATTTAATTGGCCATTTCCAGAAAAACCTACTAGATATTATAAAGCATTATCGACAGTGACGATTGGACTTGTTGGAACATTGAGTAGACTTTGGATGAGTAAGTCAGAAATCATCCTATGTAGAAAAAAAGAAATAAGGAAAGAAAGTGATTTTATTTTTATTCATAGAATATATTACTTCAGTTCGAATTGAGAATGGTAAGAATGAAATATGTATCTACATTTCATAGAATTTTCGTTATTAAAAGTTGATATTCTTCACAATGCTGTCTTTCATCGAGATCCGAAACGATCATTGATTACCACGGCTAATCATCATTCTTGTAAGATGGTTACCATAAATATTATTATTTAATCATAAACTTTAATAAATAGGTTTGGATGATCCATTGTTGATCGGTATATAAATGGTAGTTTTGATTCTCGCTAATAGTTTTATTTAATTATTCGTTATTATATAAAATTTTTTTGTTTTCATTATTAATCGATATGTATTGCTATTGTAGGAGCTACTATGCCATATCGTGTTTTTTGGAATCGTCAACGAATGCGTTGGTCATTAGGTGCCGATGATATTGTATTTACAGTAAGAAGACATCAACGTTTCTTCAGTTTGGGTAAAACAATACCAATAAAGCGTGGTGATGGTGTTTATCAACGACCGATGGATTTTGCATTAGAGCAAATCAATCAAGGTGATTGGATGCATGTTTTTCCTGAGGGTATTTGAGTTTTATACATATGCATTAGTTGTTTTTTTAATTTATCTTTTAGGAAAAGTAAATTTAACAAAAGAAATCATGAGACTTAAATGGGGTAAATTCAGACTAGAATACATATTAAAATAAAGTAAAATTTTAGGTGTTGGTCGTCTTATTGCTGAAGCTAAGATTTGTCCATTAGTCGTTCCATTCTATCATCTTGGTACGAAAAATATGTGAACGATAATCATAAATTTTTAGTTTTATTTATTAGGAATGGATTCTGTATTACCTAATGTAGAACCTTATGTTCCTAAAATAGGTCAAAAAGTAAGTATTTATGTTGGTGAACCACTTATCTTAGATAATCTTGTAGAAAAAATGAAAAAAGAAAATCGATCATTGGTATGAATAAATTAATCAATTGTTTCATTGATTTTATTTTATTTTATAGGAAAATATACGTAAAGCAGTAACTGATATAATTCAAAACGAATTTGCAAAATTAAAACCAAAATGTGAAGAATTACATCGACAACATTTAGAAAATAGTTCTTCTTCAACGTCCTCAAAGACTTAACAAAAACAGAAATCTTTTTTAAAGTGTTTTTTTTGTTACCGCGTTATTTCGTTTGCTCAATAGTGAAGAGAACATTAGCAAGTATGACAGTTCTATTTCAATAAAAAAATAATGACATCGTATTTTATTATTGATATCTTCTGTCTCTATATGAAACATTCAAATTATTTTGACATCGATTGGTTAATAATTCAACATAATATCGTAAGAGATTCCCTTTAGAACGACAATGAAAAATTATTGATTATATATTCTAATAAAAATATTCAATTGTCTAATATTTGTAAAGAATATAAAAAAAAACAAAGAAATGTACCTTTAGTACAAATTTTCTTCAGGTAAGAAACAAACAAAAAATATAGAAATGAATGTATTCTTTACTCGTTTACTTCACAAGCACTTTGATGGATATACATATATATGAATGAAATAAGTTAGAATAGAACGAAAATAGTTTAATTGTATTCTTCTTTACTCATTGTTTAAAATGAAATGTTGTCATCTATCATCATTCATCGATAAATATCCGTCAAAACTATGTAATAATAGCCGTGATCAAGTGTACAGAATGAATATGAATACAGTATGCATAACACGATTAGTTTGCATTCATATATACTTTAAGAGAGCAATGATTTCAGCTTTTGCTGAGGTAAACCATACTACAATAGGGAGTGCATTACCAGTAAAAAAATCATTAAGTCCATAACTTCTGAAAGAGTATGGAAAATTTTGATCTACTGTTCAAAGAAGTTTAAGGAGAACATATACATGATTCTAAAGAACAAATTAAAAATTAGCTTCTTTACTTTTCTGATTGAGATTTAGGGGGTGGGTACTATTGACATGCCCTTTAATCATTCGCAGTTAGCTATTCTTCCAACTTCATCCGAGAATGGAGTATTTATTTGTCATTTCTATGAAGATATTCTATATCTAAATGTTGCTCGTTTTATGGGAAAATTAGTTCCACAAATCAAATCGATATGTTAATCTTGATCATTAACCCTGACATTTACAAACTAGTCGTCGTCTAGAAAATGATCTCATAATTGAAGATACTCGTTCTTGATTGTATAAAGCTATTTTCTATTGTCCTAGTGTTCTACATTTCAGTTTGAATAGGCTTAGAAAATGTGAGTGATATTCGCCGATAATTAAGATACTTATACTGATTAGACGATAAATTAACATTTTGTTAGTTTACCTAATCCATAGATTAAGCGTATTCTTGATTTGACTGGATTTAACAATATCGATTGAAAATCTTGAAATTTTCACATTAGCGTTTGCTCACTTCAAAACTAATTATGAGAGTAACAATAATAAAAGTTAACAATTATTCTATCGTTATCAAGAAAGTGATAATTCAGTTAAGGGCGATGATACACTGATGCTTATTTATGATAACGACCGATCATATTTCATGTTAATGTCAACGATACGTATGAAGTAGCTGTTGTTAATATATTTCAACAAAAGGCATCAATCAATTCCAATTTTAATGATCTATAAATTCTTTTGCTTTTGATTAAATTTTAATCTTTAAACTAGTAACTATATGTTTTACACCATAATATTAAATGATATCTTTTTTTTTCATAGATATTTGTAAATCAAATTTTTACTCATATTTATACATACTTACTTAAACGAAGATTTTTGACTCTATAGATAATATTATTAGCAAGAGACCGTTATACTAGTTGAGAATATCGTACCAATATTTAAGGAACTAGCTATTCTTTCTTGAAAGTTAAGATTAGAACTAACAGCAGAATTTTCTTAGTTGTTATGAATCCAAAAACTTAGCAGATATGATGATAATAATTTCAGTGCAGTGGAAATTTATTCATTCAATAAGAAGAAAAAGCTTTTATATTCGTTATTCCCTTTTATGAAATAAAAGGGTCTTATGAAAAAAATTAGTTTGAAAAATTTAAATTTGTGTATGTGTCTGCCAAGCGGAAAAAGGAGAATATAATAATTTAAAAAAATATATACATAATAATAATAAAAGATAAAAAAAATAAATTTTTTGTAGACGTGTTTGCCAGACGGGAAAACTTGAATAATATAAAAATATAGTGAAATATATAAAGAAAAAATATAAAGAAAAACAAATATATTGAAAATATATTGATTTATTGTACATGTTCTTGAAAATTATATGAAGATTCTATGATGAATATCGAAGAGAAGCATAATGCGTCCAACTCAAATACTTCGAATAAGCAACAACGGTTTTCTAAACGATCAGGACAAAATGTCAGTTTATTTTGAAATACATGTATATTTTCCTTGTTTAGAATCTGATCTTGATGAAACCATCTACATAGACAACAGAATTATGGCAGATACTTTTGACGAAGAAATAAAAAATAAATATTTAGCTGCAAGTGATTTAGGACAACAAGCTGAAATAATAATAGAAAATAATCCATATTTAGTCGTGCGCCAAACATTTGATAAAACTGTAACACGATTGAAAAAAGCTATATGATTCTTATCTGTTAATTTTTGAACATTGACTATGCGAAAAAAGAAATTTTGTTTAATTTATTTCATCGAAATCTCTGACCTTTATCCGTTCATCATGATCTAAAGAAAAAAATGTTTCATTTTAGCAATAAAAAAGACTTCGCAAAAAAATTTTACAACCAATTTCCTACAAAATCATGCACATTTGAAAAAGATGCATATCGAGAGATCAATAGTCTTTCTTGTAGCAAAAATTATTAATTTTCTTTGCCAACAAAATGAAATGTTTATACCCATATCAAGACTACAATGTTTTACAATGCATGCAAACCTCAGATAGTTTCATAAAAGGGACTAAGTCTATCATTAGATAGACGCTACTTGTTATGACTAACTACATAATATTAATTATAAAAGTTTTAATCTTCAAAAGGATTACGTGTCACGAATTCATTTGTATACGGAGGTGTGTGATAAGGTTGTCGCATTGTCACCGGTCCAAACATTGGTGTTTTATGTGTACGTAATGTTGCTGGTGTGTAAAGACGTGTGTGATGTGTACGCATTGTATGCATTTGTGGCGTTGGTGGTTGTGTTGGCAATGGATTTCGTTTACTTTCATAACCACCACCAATTTCCCATTGTTGAAACTCTCTCCATGTACTTAATTTTGGACAAAAACGTTTACCTAATAGTGAACATTTTTCTTCATAAGCTTTACGAGCTTCACGTTTTTGTTCTTCGCATTTTGTCTTGCCTGGATGAAGAAAACTACGCCGAGAACGAAAAAGAAATTGTAAAGCTTCATTTGATTGAACTAGAAGAATAATAGAATTGAAGAAAACAATCATTGATTATATAATATACTCACTTTGAAATTCATTCAAATCTAATTTTGCAACGGTAACGAAAGTTAAAAAAAGAAGAAAATATATCCACTAAATTAACAAATAAAAAGATGAGAAATAGCGAAAGATGAGATATTCAAAACGTACCTTCATGACCGTTTATATTTTCGCGAATAATACTCAAACAATACTTGTTTTTTTTTCTCGTTATTTCTAGATGCGTCGTCAGTGGCACAAATAAATATAAAAGATAGTTGTTGAAAAATATCATCGACTATAGAATACAATAATTATCGAACAGAAGTTGAAGAATATTTATCAGATACATATATTTACTGAGAAATCTTCATGTGACGTTGATAAATTGATAAATAATGATTGATATATCTGATGAATTAATATTTATCAGTTGGCTTATTTAGAGTTTTTGTGACTATAATTCTTGGAAAAAGATATCATGCTATTTGAAATAATTTTTTGATAGCGGATGAATAATAATTGTTGGTTATATGAACTCATCGAATAAATATTTTTCTACTTAAAACCGACGTATTTTTCTGATATTTGACTATTAATTATTTTTTTTGTCTCATTTCATTTAGATTTTATTTGTACTAGTGTTTGACTGAATTCATTCTTTGATTGATGTTGACTCTCGAAGTGGTTATGTTATATGTGAAGTTTTATTCTTTATTGGATGGTGCTATTCCTTATCAGATTTACCGAGCGAAATGCGGAAGTTTTGCTACAGATAGTTTCCAAATCACATCATTGTAGAGATTTATACTGAAAACTGCTACCGACGAGGGAATATTCCCAGGTATCGGAACGCTTTTCATTCGGGATTTCAGGCATTTTGTAGCCATTAGTGAGCTGTGTCTATGGTAAAAAGAAGTTTCAATTTCTGGCTTGTTTCTGAGAAGATAGAACGTTTTTACTATTACAGCTGTAAGTATTATCTTATCAGAAAAAAAGCACTATGTCAATCAATACAAGTTGAAACGACCGATGAGTTGCCGATAGTCAACGGAAAAACGCTGATCGATTACAGGGACAGTGTTGTTATTGCTGTGAGTCATCGAGAATTTCAGCAGTATAATTTCTCTCCAATGATGGCTCAAAACAAAGTGATTTACGATATTACAGGAATTCTACCGGAAACGAGTATTGATGCATGTTTGTAACATAATGTAAAAATAATAATACCCTAGTTGGCCCTAAAAAATAAAAGGCTTAGAAAAATCAGTAGTGTCCAACTTGAAAGTTGAATTCAAGTATTCAACTATTCAACTATTCAACTATTCAAATATACAACTATTCAACTATTCAAGTATACAACTATTCAACTATTCAAGTATACAATTATTGAATTATTCAAGTGCTCAATTAGTCAACTCCCGAAATGTCATCAGAATCATTTAACACCGACAGATATTATCTGGGGTGCTTGTGGCATCCCATATGATGCTACAGGCATTCTCTATGATGCTACAAGCATTCTCTAGAATGCAACGAGCGTCAACTAGGATGCTATAGACATCATCTAGGATGCTGCAAGCACCACCTAGGATGCCACAATTATTCCGTAGGATACAACAGGTTTTGGTTAAGCTGCTTCAGATATTATCTGGGATATTACAAGAAGTATGTGAGAAACTTGAGCTACTGTTTAGCACTGAGTAGGAATAATGGTGTACATAGAGACGTGCATAGGTCGCGGCTCTTCGGGGGACGAAGCGCTCCCACGCTGCGACGCTGAAATAAAGGGTCTGTTAGGCGGAGAACCGCACTTCCCCGCTGAATGTCTGCAGAATACTTGAGAAGTTAAAATTCGAATAGTTGAATACTTAAATTCAAATTTCAAGTATTACATATATGAGAGAAATAAAATAAAAGTAGAATTTCTTGTCGTATGCATGTCGATTAATATGATTAACGAACGACAGTATGATTTCTAGTAGTCACTATAAGAAAATATACAGGATGTGATAAAATTCAATGGCACTGAATTTATTTTTTCCCATATTGTAGAAATCTGTTAAAATGTGATAATGAAACATAAACAATATACTGCCATTTCCAAATCATTCATTAAACTTTATTACTTGCTTCATCAACTAAAGCCTTTTATCTTTTTTTCATTTACACGTAAATGATCTCCTTGACGAACAATCAAACTGAAGTGATGCATAGATTACTGCAAAAGGTTTCTAATTTGACTCTCTCAGAAGTACTATATTAAGTGTACGTTTCTCTTGTAATCCTTCTATCCATTCTACATCACCTAGGACATTTCAGGCTTTTAGGGCCTATTCATCGTTGTCTTTTACCATTTTCTTAAGACTGTGTGACGCAAATTCTACTCATCTATTTTGGATCCGTACAAGAATATTTGCAATAGGTGATTTTACATTATTGAAAAATGGGTTTAACTTATAAGAAAAGTCGTTTCTCTTTTAGCACAATCGCAAGAACATTTAGCATTTTTAGATTGTGTAATCATGAATTAATTTCTCTAATTTTTAGAAAGAAATTTCAACTTTCAAAATCGAGTCTATGCAGATCATCTCCAAATACCGTCATTGAAAGAAATTGATAGTGCTGTTCTAGGAAAAATATACAATGATTTTCATTGGACCTCAAATCAATAGAAGATACTCTGAGCCTAATTTTGTCAACGTAATAGTTGCTCTTCAACAATAAACTTCGAACTTGGAGAAATGAACAGATGCTGCTTGTCTTCATATACATCGATCAAATTGAACGGGCACAGAAAATATTAAACCAATCAAGTAAGATGAAAAGAAAAAATTGCCCTTCAGGTTCTTATTGCCTGAATTTCTGATATTCTATCTGGTCGAAATACCATAGAATAATCACCTACACTTTATGTCTACACATGTTTAGAGTTATTCTTTTCATAATTAAAGTAATTATAAAAGCTCAATTTTGGTTTTATAACTATAGTTTGAAAATAGTGTTTTTTTATATACAATTCGATTTTGAAATGACATTGATCTCAATAGTCGTTTTTTTATTTTCTATCTGAAAAAAAGTGAACAAACAAGTTTTTTTTTGCTCTCATCGGGCATGTATACAAAAAAAATGAACAATAACAAACGAACAAAACAATAACGATACGTAAAAAAAGTTCATCGACAACCATATCAATCATGTTTCCATGATATTATTTCCTAGAACAAGAGAGTGAATAGATATAAATTTATTATGAATTCCTATTACCAGGATATTGTTCTTGCTCCATGGCTTCACTATTCGGTTTATGACCATTTTGATGTTGCTTTTGTTCCATTGAATGCGGCATTTGACCAGCTTGTAACATGGCTTTTAATCTTTCGACTTCTTCTATTGATTTAGCTTCCAAAATGGCTTTCTAAAAGTTTATTAATATTAATTTGAGAAATACAAAAAAGAAACAAATAAAGAAATATAAACTTTGATAGCATCAGCATCTTTCTTAGTCATTCGTGGTGCTTGTTGTTGTTGTTTAGCTAATTCTCCACCAGGTACAAATGTATTAGCTCCTTTTTGTTTTTTCTTCGCTTTCTCAGCAGATTTAGATTTATAGAGTTTACGAGCTGCTTCACGTTCCTAAAAAGCAAAAAACCCCAGTAATTGATGAAGTAGAAACAAAGAAATAATTACTTTTTGAGTAATTCGATTATAATCAAGTGTTCGTAAATTAGGTAACATATAAATAACATATAGACGATAATCCTTTTTCATAGCAATCGGATTTCGAGCAAAGCTAGAAAAGTATGTAATCATTATTTTTTCTTCTTCATTCAACAAAGAATTTTACCTAACGTGAGTCAATTTTGGTAATGTTGCAAGTGGATCAATATCCGATAATTCTTGCAACATATTATTATTAAGCATTAATGTATCTAAATTTGCAATGTATTCTTGTAGATTGTCAGCGATACGTCTAAAATGAATAAAATTATTGAAAAGGAAAATAAATAAAATGAATCTGATCAGTTTTTACCCTAGAAAGTTACTTAAAAGTATACACAAAACTATCAAAAAATATTTATTGTTAACTTCGATATCCGAAAGTAGAATTCGGCTGTTTCAAAAATTACCTGGAACCATGATTCTGCTTTGATTCCCAGAATATCACGTGGAATTGAAACCGTTATATCATCAGATAGATACGAAAATTTTAAATCTATTTTGAGAAATTTTCATTATTAAACTGTTGAGATTCAAGATAACAAATATTTCAATGCTTAAACAGGACAATATTGTACATATATATATTGCTATCTTTAATCTCAACAGTAATAATAATGAAGATTTTTTGACATAGATTCAAGAATTTTTCTATCTATCTGATAATTTAACGATCTCAGTGTTTTTTTCCACGGTTTCGGCCCCAAAAAATTTTAAAAAATCAATTTCGATTCGGTTCTCTATCTCAGTTTCTTTTCGAAATCGCTGAATTCTACCCGAGAGCATGTCACTTCTACATCATTCTTGGTTTTTTCAAGTACAGTTTTATTATTCAGATAGATTGGATGGTGCTTGAGTGTTAATAGCACCATAAGTATTCCGTTCGAAACAAATGAAATTTTAATGATCAACAAATTTATTTAAAATAAAATCTTCTTACGCTATATGATTATTTGCAAGATAAAGTGTTTTTAATTTTGGTAAAAATGGAAAACCATCAAGTTTACGTAAATCATTATTCGTAAAATCGATTGTATCGAATTGATTTAATGTTGCACCTAAATTTTCAATAACAGGAATCTTTAAATCTAAATATTCATAATTGACATAAATCGAATAAAATTATTGCTCTTGTTTACCGCGTAAACTTAATTCATATTGACCGACAGGATTAAGATATTGAGGAGCTGCTTCAATCACTTCAGGAGTAAGACGACCCATAATATAATAATTTTTCTTTAAAACAAATAAATCAATCTGAAAAACTCAGATATATTAGAAAAAAAAACAAAACACTTTCGATTTCCTATCCACTTAAAAAAAAACAAGTTTATAAAAATTTAATATGTTCGTTCTAATGGTGTTGTTATTGGATAACCTTTGGCTATGAGCATCTAAGAAAAATCAAGTCATTTTTATTTTATTAATAAAATTAAAATAATTTCTTACTCGTTTAGCTAAATGTTGTAAATGTTCATCACCTGTTCGATAACCATGTTCATGAACTTCTTTAGCAAATCTATCAATTCTTAAACGTGCATGTTTACAATAAAGAAAAGTCATTTCAGTTTCATGTTCACAATTTTTTAAACCAATTGAATATGCACGCGATGAACGACCTAACATTGCTGTCATTGCAAAAATTTCCATAACTATTTCAGATAGACGTCTTAAATATAATTGATTATCAATTATATCACGACCAGATTTTGTTAATGTTTCTTTAGTTACATTTCGTAAAACAAATATAGCATATTCTAAATCTTTTGCTGGAATACCTAAAGATGGATGAACCTAAATTAATTTAAAAAAAATTAATTATATTAAATTTTGATATTTTTTTCTTTAAGTATTTACTTTTTCCCATAGATCATGTTTAAAGGTAAATGGCGCACGCATTGCTTGTGCTTGTGTAGTCCAACTAGTTAATAAATGTCGTAATTTAGTTCCAGGAAAATGAATTGGATTTCGAATTTTTCGTACAAAATCATGAATAACTGTACTAACACTCATCACACCTTCCCATGCTGTTAATAGACGTAAAACATCATTTGGTACATCAAACATTGACCATGGACGTATATCACGAAGATATTGTTCAACTGGATGACCAATCTCAATGCCTTCAACACCAAATATTTCAAGACAATCATTTGCTAAACGATATAAACGATCTGTAGCAAAGATTTTTGTTAATGCTGATTCAATTGATATAACAGGCATTGAAAATGAATCAAGTATACCACTTGTTAAATATGTCATTGATTCCATTGTATATGTGTCAATTTCCATATGAAATAGACGTTTTTGAATTAAACCTTGATCCATTAATCTACGACTAAAAGATTCACGTTGAATTGCTCGTTCAGATGCTAATTGAATTAGACGTTTACCAACACCAACACACATGCCTAAAATTTTCGATTAAAATTAAAAATAAATCTTTTCTTTCTAGATCAGTAAATAATGAGCGTCAGAGAAGTTAAGAAGAAGAATGTTCAGTGTTGGAAAGTTATGCACTAAAAAAAAGAAAATCAAGGTCAGCAGAATATTCACATCCATACCTACTCATATAACAAATGATCGAAAAGTAATTAGAGCAAAATGTCCAATCATTTTTAAGCTTTTTTATTAAACCTGCAGGAATTCGAGAAGCATTGGGCTAGAATCAAAATTATGTGTCCTTTCCAGCTATGGATTCATGATTTTGTAAGACTTCTAGTTTAAAAGTTATGAACTAACCTTTTAGAGGTACGAACATTAAGTTTGTACAGAGAAAATAGCATTTAATTATTTTCTACAAAGTGATATATGAATCAAGAGTTTTAGAACAACCGTTTAGGAATGCTCGAGTTCACATTGCAAGCTTGTTTTCTATAGAAATCAAGAAAGTTGCCAGAATTGACATGATTTACCTTGGTTCAACACTTGCTGTTAACAAATGATTTACAGCTAACTAATCCTTAATATACTATTTTGTTGAGAAATGTTTGTTCTTTCAGTCATTGTATTTAAAATAAGTTTCGCTTCTAAAAATATCGGCTTGTAACTCCTACAAGAATTTTGAATCCATATTTGAAAAGAACACAAAATTCTAATTCTAACCCAATGTTTTCAAGTTTCTGCAGGCTTCTTAAAAAAGCTGAAAAATGAATGAATACTTTGTCTAATTACCTTTCTATCACTCATTATTACAATAAATGCTAGTCAATTACCGAAAAGTAAGAAAAGACCTGATCAATATTTCGAAAAATGCTTATTAAATCCTATTTCAACACTTCATTCAAGTATTCAAACTCACATTGATTCAATTACACATCATATTTTATTGTAATTATTTTTATTAATATTTGTATTTCGTTAAATATAATAGTTCATTATTGATCTTTTTATGTGCTAAACTTTTCGTACTCATCGTTTCAGCTACCTTCTTTCTTTCATATTATTCTGTTCAATAAAATGCAAAAGAGATTCTCGTTTGACATAAAAAAAATCTTTTGAGGATTACTTCGAAATTTTCAAATACTATGAATTTGAAAGTCTTGCAAAACATGCAAAGATACCTATAAAAATTTAATTATGATCATACGTGGATGAACTTCAATTTAGATTCTACTAGCATATTTAGTGATATATATACTTAAATCATAATGAAATGAAGAAATTTTCATATGAAGAAGAATTTGTAAATGACATTTATATTTGTTGCTGAGAATGAAAGAGAATTTTTGTTTGGGAGAAAAAAAAAGACTAGACATGGTCTCTAACCTGAGAGAGTTGTTCGTACATAACCATGTAAATTTCTTAATATGTTTAATCCTTCACCAAGTTGTCCTATTGAATGATGTGCAACATTAACTTTAACATCTTTAAATTCAATATGTGTTAAACCAAGACCACGTAAACCAAGTGTTGATATTGGTGGTGATATATTAACACCAGGCATATCACGATGAACAAGAAAAAATGAAAAACGATCATCATAATCATCTGATGTATGACGTTCTTTTGTTTTACAATAAACAAGAAATACATTAGCATTAAGTCCATTTGTAACCCACATTTTTTTTCCATTAATAATATATGTATTTGGATCTGTATTACTTACGGTTGCTGTCGTTTCAATATTTCGTATATCACTACCACTATGTGCTTCTGTTATACAAGCTGTTGCTATCATATTACCTGTAGCCATTTCAGGTAAATAATAACGTTGTTGTTCATCTGTACCATAGACAAGTAAACCTTAATTATAATTAATGCTTATTTTATTGAATATTTAATTTAAAAGAAAAAAAAGAAAAACTTACTTCTAACTCCGTATTCTGTATGTGCTAATAATTGAGTAGTAATAGTTGGACTAACAGCTAATTCTTCAAACATACGTACAGATAATTGACTATTTAAACTAAGACCATCTATAATTGAATAATTAAAATGTAACAAAACAAAAAAAAAAACAATAATTCTTACTGAATTCTTCCGGTATAATTAATCCATGTAATTTTAATTTACACATTTCTTTATAAATATCTTTATCAATATGATTATCTCTTTCGATTTTATTTCGATCAATTGAATCAGTAAATTTTTTTAAACGTTCACATAATGTATTCATTTGAGTTGATTCACCCTTAGTTAATAATTCTGGATAAGTTAATATATCCCGATCAAATTCTCCATTAAATACAATAGTCATATATTGTGTATTTGTTGAATCAACTGTTAAACGTTCTTTACGACGTAAAGCATCTAATTCATCTTTATATTCATATTCTAAACCTTCTTCTTCTAAACGTGGACGATCTTTACGTGTAATTATAGATTCTTCGGATGTGGGACGGACTTGTTCGATTATTTCTTTGTTTGGTTTTGTTATGTTTGATCTTAAGAGTTAAAAAGAAAAAAAAATTACATTCTAACAATCTATAAACTTTATAGATAATCAAAAGAAAACAGTTGTCAATTACATTTAATACTAATTTTCATATATCATTTCAAGAAAATATATTGATGTTATTTAAAACGAATGTCCTGCATGGGTACGACTTTTCGTAATCAGACCTAAACCAGTGTTAATCGACATCTGGTAGATACGTTCACGGTTACAGTACGGTTTTTAAACTTTTATTTTATATGAAAAAGTATACTATTTAGTTTCTCCCATAAAGAATAATCAAAAAAAAGAGATTATCTGATTTCACTTGGTATCTTTCTGCTTCTAAAATTTGATCATATGTCGCTAAGTATATATTGGCTTATTGCTGATGACGCTGAAACGCAACGCAAAGTTAGTGTCAAACGTCAAAATTGTGGATACATATATAGATGCTTTCTCCATCACGATAATATATGTTCACCTTTCTGATAATTCACTTGCCTCTACATGCATTCAGTTACTTTATCAAATATGGTTCATCATCATCTGTAGATGAATTTTCATTAGAAACGAATTCTTTTAGTAAAACAATATTGCTTTCCGCTTCTGTGATCTGTTTTCAAGTACAGTAAATTGCTCAATCATGATCGAACCGCTTTTCATTTCTATGCTTTTATATAAATTAGTAGTTTGAAAAAGTAAACATATTTTGAAACGTCGACATCTTATTAATTGTCGGGTCGGATCCGCGTATGATCTCATACCTGAACCTGAATCAACATTTTTTTTTCATGCTCAGTACCCAACCAAATTGCAGAATACTACATACAAACGGTTTATTTTCTCTCATATTGGAAGAAGAATTGTTTACATACATTTTTCCTATGAATATTTATGTGAAAGATTAGACATTTTTGATTAAATTATAGTTACGAATGAATACAGAGATATGAAGTCGTTGTTATTAACAAGTAGATAGTTTATCTGAACAAAATTTCTCAGATTTATTATCGATAATATATAATATCTTTCAAATGAATTCTAAAAGAACTACAACTCAGATGTGTCAATTCTTAAATTCTTACTAAAATGATGATCAAATGTGATTAACGTTAGTTTAAACAATTTCAAACATAAATTCGAAAACTATTCGACTATTTTCAAAACTTAACAATTATTTTTAAGAATTAAACATCAATATAAATATATTATTTTTTCCTTTAGAAACTTATTTGAAAAATCTGTAGAAATAAACAAAAGAATTTTTCGATAATAAAACTTACACAAATCGATTTACATGTAGATTTACATACGATCGTCGAATCCACGGTAAAAATCTCAATGTTTGCATGTTTTTGTTTTTCTTCTTAAACAAAAACCTAAATTAATATTTCATCTAAAACAAAAAAAGAAAATTTGATTAACATCTATTCGATAGATTCAGGCGTTACTACAATATTAAATACAAGTCCATTATTTCGAACAATTTTTAAATTTAATGTTTCATCTTCTTGAACACGTTTAAGAAGATCTGCACTTGTTTCAATATCATGTCCATTAACTTGAATAATAATATCACCAGGTTGAAGACCAGCACGTTGTGCAGTTGAATTTACCATAACACCAGCAATATAAACACCTTTATTTATTGAAAATGTCATTGGCATACGATAACGCATTTCTTCAATAATTTGTGGTGTTAATGAAAACATTTTAATACCTAAATAACGTGTTTGTCGACGATTAGTTATTGATGTTGTTTGTTTAGATGTTGATTGTTTTAATTTTTTCTTTTCAATATCAGCTAAAAATAATTTTGCATAATTAATTGGTAATGCAAATGATATTCCTGTCATAGCTTTCATTGAATTAATACCAATAACTTGTCCATCAAGATTAACAAGTGGACCACCACTATTACCACCTGTTATCATACAATCTGTTTGAATATAATTTATATTACGTCCAAATAAACCTAATTCACTACTTGTTCGACCAACATTTGAAACAATACCAGATGTTACCGTATTTGATAATGCTAATGGACTACCAACAGCAATACAATGTTCACCAGCACGTATTTTATCTGAATCACCTAAATTTAAATAAGGTAATTTTTGTTGTTTTGAATCAATTTGTACAACAGCTAAATCTGCAACCATATCCACTAGACAAAAAAAATAAATAAATATCATTAAAATTTTTACTACAATACAAAAAAAAACAAACTTTTTATTTCGTACCATGTTCAACAGTTCCAGTAAAACGTTGTCCATCAGCTAATTTAATTTTAACATGTTTTTTATTCCGTACAACATGTGCATTTGTTAATATAAGTCCTGTTTCATTGATAATAAAACCTGAACCATTTGTTGTACCTATTGATGAATTAAAATGTCCAAAATATGGCATGGATTCAAGATCAACTTCAATATGAACAACAGCTGGTGCAACATGTTCAACAACATCAGCTATAAAATTGTATTGTTTTGAATATGGAAGTTTTTCAATTAATGGTTTTTGATTATCAACTATTAATGGACCTTTTGGTGTTGAAGGTATTGGTTCATTATTTGATAAAGCATATAAACGATAACGTTTAAAAATTTCATAAAAACTTAAAGAACTTGTTGCAAGAAGAAGAGTAAATGGTATAGATGAATTAATTTTATTAGAATATTGTTCATTTCTTGTTGATAATAATGGAATATAAAATGATGAATATTTTTGACGATTAAAAAGAATTCTTGCAAAACGATACATTATTGCGGTGCGTCTTAACATTTAAAAAAAACAGAGGATCAATTCGGTTGTCAGAAGTGAACCAAACTCGACGTGAACCAAAGTCGAATCCACAGTCCATATTTCACCTATCTTGACTGATAATATGAGACAGCTATCGAAAGATGTCGTGCATGATTGGATTGTTTTCCATTGTATCTAATATTTCATGTTTTCTTCACTTCTTTTCATTTTTACGGTTTTTTTTTATTAGTAAATGATCGGTTGACATTGATTATGTGTTCTGAAATCCAGAAGTTGGAATTCAAAATATTCGATGAACAATAGCTCAATATCATACGATAAATTTCGTTAAATAAGAATCTCCTATTCCGAAGTATAGTAGTCAAATTTTGAATGCCTTTGCCACTTTAGTGTCACTTGTTAGTATTGATTCATAAATATAAATATCTATCGAATTTGCTTTGTGTTCGAAGATTTATTTTCAATTTATTTCAATAATAAAAATCGAAAATATACATTTATTATCAAATGAGTTATGAAAGAACAATATAAAAAAAAATTGCTATGAACATAAGTTTTAGTTACATAAGATGGTGGAAAAGAATTCAGCAACAACATTCTAGCGATCATTTTTCTGTAATGTTAGGCAAGTACTGTGAAGGTATAAGTATTTAACTGCGCATGATCGGTATGGGTGAATCCATGGGAAACGTACCACTTTATACATGACTTCCTCAGAATTCGCTGAAACTTTCAGAATTTGTAGAGCTCGATGAGCTGATCATTTTGATAATAAATTGTTATGAGTTTGATTCTGGATTAGAGTTGAAATGAACAAAATACAGTTTTCAAAAATTCCAGAAAATCATGGTCAAAGTAAAAAGTTTTGATTTTTTGCGAGAACGTTTTCTCTTTTATTTTAAGATCAAAATGAAACATTCTATACATATTTTGATAGCCCGTGCTCAGCTCTATGGAACCAAATATGAACCAAAACATTTTCATTTTCTAAGAAAAATTTTTAATCGGGCCACAATAAGTTCACTGCTACACAAACTTTCTCTCCTAATAAAAAATCTCTTTCAAATTTGGGTGAATTGTGATCTAGTAGGTTTTGTAGAGCGTCGGTTTCTCTACCTTGTGGTGTATAGAACTTCGCAGCCAGTTTCCATTTTTGCTCGTTAGAAGGTCAAAAAGTTTATCTACTACTGTTTTCTGAAGATTTCAGTTCATATTTCTGAACTTTTCAAAAGAAAGACTCAATAAAATAATCTGAAAATTTAAATTGAAAGAAATCTCAAGTATTAGAATAAAAATCATAAAAAACTTTATTAACTATTGTCTTGCCTTTCATATCATCCCACAATAGTAAAATGTCAGAAGTCATGTTTGAACTCTTGATTGTTTAAATTTATCGCTTTCAATACAAAATACAGTTATAGTGTATTGAGATAACATAGGTATCTCAAAGGACTACTGATCTATTTCGAAAGATTTCGTTCACCTTCATCTCAACAGTGTAACTTCGATTTTTTCGAACAGTTGAATGCCGTCGTATATCAGAATCTAACACATAAATGTTGTTTTAAAATTATTCTAAGATTCAGTCAACATACAATTGGCAGCAATTAATCTCGCCACTAATATAACTTTTAAAATCTTTTCTTCATTGACAATGATTAATTTTTATATCTGAAAACAAAAAAAAATAAGTATCAAATAAGAGATTAGATGTAAATTTGAAGTAGAATCATATTATTCTTGTCGATAATATTCGAAAATCACCGAATTATACAACACTCTCTGAATTGGTTCAAAGTTTGCACCTGAAAAAAAAACAGAAAATTAAGAAACCAACAATTCATGTTTATGATGTACATTGTCTGTTATTCTATTATGTCTCTATCGCGTTGAAAAAGAAAAATATCATTTTGGATGGTTGTAAAACATGGACTTTTCATCTGATTGGCTTATAACTTCTATATGAAATGAGCCTATTGACTTTGGCTCACATGTTTGGCTCACTTCTGTGGACCGATCAATTCGTATTGTTTAAAATATTTAACCAATCAAATAAATATAAATCGATTCTTCTTGTGATTGGTTAATAAAACGACAAACTGACTATGTCTATAGATACAAATTTTCCTTTCGTTATATTTAACTTACCGATCAATGTGAATAGATTTTCATGTTCATCAAAAATATTTTTATTATAAAATATATTTAATTGATCATTATATTTAACATCGATAAATTATGCTCAAACAACAAAAGTTCAACAGAAAAATGATTCAATTACGGATAAAACAAGAGAAGATTGCAAACGACGTCGTCATGAAAGAATTTATTAATAAACTTGAAAAATTTAAACTTCAACTGAAATCTATTCATGAATATGATTTAGAAATAAGAATTCTTAAAAAACTTGAGTAAGGATCAGTAAAAAACAAAAAATAAGATATTATTCTATATCATAATTTTCCTTGTTTTTTTTAGTATTCGAAAATGTTTATCCATTCAATCAATGTCTGAAGCAAAGATGTATCGTTTAATGTTAAATCATGATTGGGCTAAACATAGGCGTCAATAAGAAATAATATTTATGTCATGAGCATTTAAATCACAAGAAAATGCACTTGAACAATTAGAAATTAAAAGTAAAGAACTTTATGAACAAATTTTACAAGTAAGAATAAAATAGAAAAATTTTCACAGGGATATTATCTTTTATAAATAGAGACAAGAATATTTTATCTTTGAAAACTAACCTACAGAATGAAAGTCTTGGTACAACGTATTCACTCATTTTTCGATTCACTTAAAGACAATTAATTAGAATCAGAAGCACTTAGGTAGAGTTAGGCTTTTTTCACTCGTTCCGAAGATGTGTTCAGGATTTCCTTCCGAGGTCAGATTCGACAACTATCATCAGATTATTTCAAAAAAGTCCAAAATAGTGGTTGCACAAAAATGCTGCTTTGGTCAATTTTATATTTCGATTAAAACCTGGCTTTGTAATCGTCCTATATTTTTCGAAAAAACGAAGATGTTTGTTTTTTTTGAAAAGATCCACATATCCTATTAAAAATATCTTGCATGATGACGTAAATGTCATCACTGAGATCTATAGCACAACGTGCAGATAGTATAGTGACTATACATATATGTACTGATTTGTTTGTCATTTTCGTCGAAATAATGAATAAGTTGTGATGCAATTGATTTTTTTTTATTTTAAAAGTTTTTGCAGATGACTAATCTTTTTGTGAAACACAATTTCCTTCTCATGGGTCATGACGAGAATATCGACAAGATTAATCTAATGGAGCATTAGTATGAAACACAGTTGAATTTTAAGATAGTTGTTTTTTGCTCTTCTTTCATACTGATTGAAACATACTGTGATTAACATCTTTTTTCATCGACGCACATTAACAGTAGGTGATACTTCATAAACTGAAACATATTGATGGATTCATTTTTTTTACAATGAAAGCAGCTTCATCGTGTTTGAGATTTTACTTCCACTGAGATTGTGCAAACAACTTCTTATACTTTTAAATATTTTGCTTATATACATTGACGTGTATCAAATATTATAATAGTAATGAGAAGACATAATGTATACTATAAAAACAAAAAAAATTCGTTTGCTTTTTTTAAATTTGCATTTAGTTTCATTTTGTTTATAATAATCTGAACATGCATCTAGGAAACAGATAGAAAATAAAACGAACATAGTTTTTTCATTTCTTCAGAGGAAAATTTGTTGTGCCCTCGTTTTCCATAATTTAAATTCAAAAAGTGAAACAGTTTTTGATGCCTCAGTTTTGTAGAGAAAAGTTTGCTTAACAAAGCGTGCTTTTTACTTTTCTATTTTATCTGCCACGACAAATTTTAAAAGTAGTTTTTGAAACAGATTTTTTTACCAATGTCAATTTCTATAGAAATTTGTCTTTAGTAGAAACACATCGATGATATTTCACTTATTGTAATATCCCATTTTTGTATAGAATTCAGTACTCTCTCATAATGTTGAATTGAAGTTGTGCCAAGACACAGTTTTGGACGTTTTCACGTAATTTACTGATAGTTGTTCAATCTTACTCCTCAAACGAAAAATCTAAACACGTATTCGGAAATACAAAAAAAAATTCTGTTTCCAACTAACTACTTCTGGCACTCAGTAATTGTCTTCTAGTGGCTGAAAAATGAGCGAATATTTTTAAATAAGTTTTAGGTCGATACTAAAATGATACAATTTGTTCGTTGTGAACCTCTTTACAGTCTACCAAATCAAAATTATGATGCATCAGATGATGATTATTTTGATACAACTAATTATTTTACCAAAAAGTTTCGGCGTAAATTTTATGGAACATATGAAAACAATAGACAGAAATTCGAACCGAACGACATGCTAAAAAAAAGAAGCAAAAGCCGAAGAAAAATAAATAGTTCAATCAATGGGCAGTTGTTTTTGTTTTCTATTAGACAAAATTAATTAAGTAATCAACATAATTGTTATAATAGTACAATATGAAGTTAAAGCACTAGCTAAATATAATGGTTTATTTTTAAAAAAAATGTTTCTTTACTTCTATTTAAACGATAATTTGTATTCTTAACTGGTACTAATTATAGAATTTAATAAAAATAAGCTAAATATTGATTTGTTCATCAATGAGGTATGCAGACAGGTTTTTTTTTAATTTCACATTAAATAATCAAACGAGAAAAAAACAATCGAAATTGATTTCTTTTTAGATAATTTTAAAAAAGGAGTTAGAGTAGATCGAAAATGACAGTGGATGGAACGGATAGTGTCACCAAAGGACAAGTATCACAAAGATCTCATCATCTACAACGCGAAGGAAGCAAAATTCATCGAGGTAAATCAGAATAAATTAGTCAATTTTTTTGAATACTTTTTTTTATAATAGAAATTTAGCTTTTGGAGATGAAGTTAGTATTCTTGCTTTGCTCTCTTTCTCTATATACAAGCTCGAATAGTGTTCTAATTGGAACTATGACAAAAATCGCTTGAATTTTCTCTATTTCACTTCTATATTTTTTTTAATGTATTATTGAAGGATTTACGGTTTGCGCATCGGGTACTCCATCGATTCCATCTCGTTATTTAACCATTACTTCAAGTAATAATGAAAAACGAGGTTTTCAACAAACTGCTAGACGTTTTCCATATGATCTAGTATGTCATCATCTTATTTGTTATTTTTAACGATCATTATTTAACTATTATAGAACTTTACACCTGGTCCTGGTCAATATCAAACAGTACAATCATTAGATAGACAATTAGAGAGAACGTCTGATTCAAAGAAAGGTTCTGGTACTTTTGCTTCAAAAGTGATTAACATTTTTTTTTTCCTTTTTTTTTCTTGTCTCTACATATTTCTATTGATATGTAGAGTAAACGAGATACTTCTATAAATCGATTAACACATTTTCCAGCGCCAACAACTTATAATCTTCCAGGCATGTTTAGTTATGAACATCATAGTTTTGACAGATCGAAAAATTCCAGTATGTTTCAAAAGCCAATTGCTGAACGACCTTTATCACCTAAATCAACAATTCCAGCTCCAAATCAATATGATGTTAATACAGTGTTTTTTTCTTTTCTTTTCTTTTATTTCAATTCTTTATTTTCTTCAAAGATTAATCAAGGTTTGAAAACAATCACTAAATCAAATAATGTTACAGCTCAAGCTGCTTTTCGATCACATACAAGAAGATCTATTACAACTGATAAATATTTTATTACACCTGCTCCAGGTTTGTATTTTATTTTTTCTTTTGTAAGAATAAAACAATTGAATAATGCAAATATATACTTAAGGTACATATAATTTGGATGATTCGGCTACACGATCAATAGCACCTATTCATCAATCAAGTTTTAAATCAACTTCAAAACGTGATACATTTAGTGTTCAATCGGCTAGTGATGTATTAAAAACTATCATTAAATATTCATACTATTTGAATTATTATTTTCTTTTAGTTACCAGGTCCAGCTGATTATCGACCATTTGAAAAAATAACAGAAGAACCTTATCGACAAGTACTTCCGTATGTTTTTAATATATAAATGTTTTCTTTTTTAGTCTTTCAATAAGAATAATTCCTTATTTAAGACGTCATCATTATTTGACTATTTCTGCTCCAGCTATTCCACCTCCTCCTGAAGCTCCATATCCTGGTCCAGGTTCTTATGAACTTCGTGATTTTAAAGAAGCTGAAAAAAAATATATGTCATCAGCTGCATTTGTTTCAAGTGCAAGTCGTTGGACAATTGATCCAACTAGATCAACTGAACGACCTGGTCCTGGTTCATATACACCACGTGAACCAGCTAAACAATCATTTAATTTTAATTTTGAACGAAAATGGATTTCATAGAAATTATTGATAATTTTTGTCTGTGATTCACTTTTTTCCTCATTGCATGACATTAATTTATTTGTTTTTTTTTTATTATAATATTTATCTCAATTATGTGATAATGTATTTTTTTTACAATGAACTTTTCTTTATTTTTAATTGCACGATTTTTCTTTTATTTATAGATAAACATGAATCGTGAAGGATTACTTGAATTAATGAACCAAAAAGATGATATTGAAAAAGAATTAAATGAGTTAGCAAATGAACTTAAATTACAAAATAATGTTGGAATGGCAGGAGAACTTGTCGATAGAGAAGGATATCCAAGGTAAAGAAAAATTATTTGAATGCATTTTATTTTTTAAAAAGAAAAATAAAACTTATTTAAATAATTTTGTTTTTGTGTTTAAGAAATGATATTGATCTTGTTCGAGTACGTCAAATCCGACAACGAGTTATCTGTTTACAAAATGATCACAAAACATTGATGAAACAAATCGAAGCCGGTCTCATAGAAGTTCATGAAAATAATGTTAATAATCTTTCGAATACTACTGAATCAATAACGTCAACTCCTAGCAATACCAATTTACCTAACAAAGAACCATTTTTACGTGTTGATATTGTTAGTGGTCAATCGCCTGCTGAAATAGCTGGTCTTCATGTTGGTGATCTTATTTGTCGTATTGGTACAATTCGTAAAGATAATTTTCGTACAATACAAGATGTTGCATCACTTGTAAACAATAGTGAAAATCGTTCAATTACATTACTTGTTCAACGTGCTAATACAAAAGAACAACAGACATTAACATTAACACCGAAAAAATGGTCTGGAAATGGTTTATTAGGATGTAAATTAACACCATTGAGTTGATTTTTTTTTAAATAAATATTGTTCTTTTTGTTATTACTAATGATAAACTAGAAATACTATGCATATACTTTTCATAAGTTTTTATTTAAATAACTACGATGGAAAAATTCACTAGTAATCAAATTTAATGGATATTTGAGTAAGAAAATTTATATCATTGAAAAATACCAGTAGACGATGCAATATTATGACTTTTAGAAATAATCATTTGTTATCGTTCCATGTAAAATTACTTCGTTGTGTGAATCAAATGCAACCGAGAATAATTTCAAAAGACTAGCATTGTTTTTCTTTGCAAAATAGCATAAAATAATTTACAATTTATTGCAAGTTGTTTATAGAAGGAATGATAATCGAGATGAATGCAATTCTTAAAGACTAATATGGTTTTTTGTATGAAGCAGTCGATATAACAATAAAGATATCATCATATTTTAGATATTGATACAGAAATTCACGGACGATATATGAAGCAAAATAATGTTAACATACTGTATAGAAATTGTAATCCTATTTTCAAGGACTAAAATATTTTTTATTAGAGTTATACAAGAAAAAAGATCAGAATGAGATTACCAATATTGAAATCTCGCAAATTGAAAATATCAGATCTTTCTTAATATAATATAAAAATTAAGAAGTAGAATTGAGATTTCAACTATAAAATATTTCGATGATAAATTTCAGGCAAGTCAACTTGCTTTTCTTGATTTAAACGGGCATATTAGTTTTCTCATATGTCATTATTTACCATTGATGTTTTTTGTAAAATAATATCTTCTTTCGAGACGTTTTTTTTTCTATTTTACTCGATTGAACTCAAATCAATTATCATTCATCAATAGATATGAGTATAAAAAGTCACGCCTTCTATTTTTCACATTATTTTCACTGCAAAACAAATGTTTTACCAATGCTATAATATGACGTGGACTCTAGAATTCCGTCAAATTGGTCGAGCTTATCTTGCTCTAGCTATACCTGCTTTTATATTTCATGTATTATTTTGGATGCATGTAGCTACACATCGAGCACTTCGTCAAATTTCTATGCTTTGGGTATATAATTATCTTTTTACTGATATTCTTCTACTTGTTCAATTCTTTGTTGAATATACAATTCGTACAATGTCACATTGTATTTCACATTCAAGCTTCTATGCATTTTGTAATGTCGAAGCCTATACAAATGCTTATATGACTGTACTTGAAGCATATATGTTAGTTTGTTTAAATATAACACGTTATTATTTAATTGTAAAAAATTGTAATATATCTACTCAATATCCTTATATTCTTATTCTTTTTAATATATGTCTTTATTTGGTTGGAATAAGTGTATTATTATTACAAGTTGAATTATTTCAAATAGTAAAATTACATCCTCATCACAATACTGGAAATTGTCATTTTAATTATCTTGATATAAAAACTCAATATGGAAATTTAATTATTGTTCTTTTAATTCCAATTATCTTAAATTGTTATTTTATGATATTAACAACAATTCATGTTCGTCGATCACAACAAGCTGTTCGGTCACAAGTAAAGAAAAGAATAAATCTTTTTTACAATATACATATTTATTTCTTTTGTTTTCGGTTTTTTTTCTATTTATAGCGTAGTAAACATTTACAATTACTAATTCAATTTTTTGTTGTTTATATTTTCTGGTTAGTATTATGGGCGCCAAATGTGGTTGTATCTCATATTGTTTCCATTAATGATTCAAATTCTTACACGCGTTTTGGTAGTCTAACAAGTGCTTTATGTGATCCACTTATTTTTATGTTTATTGATCGACGGTTTTTAAAAGTATGGAAAAAAACATCATATCGGATAATACATTGTGGTCGACCATTAAGACAAATATATCCAACAACAATTAGTAATGAACTTCAATTATCAATAGTTGCCAAATAATTTTTTTTCCGAAAATCAAATCTAGTCTTTGCTGTAGAAATTATCAAGTTTTATTTCTATTTCATTTTACTGATTTTCACCAGTATAAATGATATATGTATATTAAAAGCATATTCTACGCTAGATTCTTTAGAGTTTGTCTAATGTCTAAATTTGTACTGCTGCCAATTTAGTTGAAGAAAAATAAAATTCATCTTATAATCCATTAAACGTTGTTACCATTAGAAAATCCAAGGAGTTATATGAACTTTGTATTGTATATTTTAGTTGACTTGTAAAGAAATTTTTTTGTCAAAAGAACTAGTTAGTTAATGAATATATTACACTGACTTGTTTTTCGACGGTTTTTTTTTGCTGGTTATATCAAAAATTTCAATTGCCTAGCTATCAACTGATCTGGTCTGATCGAGTTAAAACAATTCAAACGATTCCGAGCCTGTCTAACTTTTTATTTTCGAAACATCAAACTTAAAATGCAGTCTATCCTGTCACACGTATACTCTTGCTTCAGTTGCTGTCTAAGCATGCCATCTAGTAAATTATTTTAAATGATTGGTTTCTTATAGTGTTACGCAATTACCTTTGTTTTTTTGCTTACTATATAAAGACGAAGTAAGGGGTTGTCAACTATAGTACAGGTGAAAAAAATAATAATGATAATAGAGGTCACATGAGCCATTTTTTTTACGAACTTCTTTTTTAGATATTATTATTGACGCATATTCGTATTATTTTGATCGAAACAATGGCTAAACGGGCTGTTGTTCATGTGGAATATTGTGGAGGATGAGGGTACGGGCCACGGTACGAGGCATTGCGTCAGAAAATTTTAGCACGCGTGCCTGATGCTACCGTAACTGGAGATACTGGACGGCGCAGTAAGTACATTTGTTTATAATTTGAATGTTTATTTTTATTTTTTATTCAAGCTTCGTTTGAGGTAACCGTTAACAATAAAGTCATCTATTCGAAACTTGAACTTGGCCGCTTTCCTGACTTTGATATGGTTAGTTCATATTCGTATAAACATAGTTTTAAGTTTGTTTTGTTTAGATTGCTGAACAAGTTGAAAATGCTACTGAAGGTCGAAATGTCGAAGTCGTAACAAAAGCAGACAAGAAGGCATCTTGTTCAATTTTATAAGCTGTTAATATATAAATTTAATATGATCTCTTCATTATGTCATACTTATACTTGAATATGTTCTTTTTTCAAGTTTGTTCATTTTTATAGTTAGCAATTTATGCATGATAGCTAAAATTAAAAATTTAATAGGTTTTAGCTTGATATTTTTTATGTTGCTTCTATTTTTATGTACAACTTGAGTTAAACATATACTCGTTGGTATAACATATGAAAGAGTTTTTATTTGTAATCATTTTTTTTCAAAAATATATTCGTACGATGACTTTTGACTATTAAAATAATTCTAGATATCAAGGAACAGTTACAAGGAATTCGAAATATTAACAAAAAAAGAAAGATCACAGATCATAATTATAGTTTTCAGCATATATCATCGATAATGTTTCGTCAATCTGTTGGTGTTATGGAAAGTTATTTAAGGGAAACATTTAATGCAACAGGTGAAGAATTGAGCTATCTTCAAAAAATATTCGATCATCGAGATCAGAAACTTAGATCACAGAGTACTGGTCGAAGTACTTATGGTTCTCCATCCGTAGTTATTGATGATTTTCTTTATCATGGTGATTTAGGTCATGCATCAAATATAAGATTATTAAATCAACTCGGTATTCGACATATAATTGACGTATGTGATTGTCAATTAGACAAAGAAATATTAGAAAACTTTCATGTTTTGTGGATTAATTTATATGATGAACTTAGAGCAGATATAAAACAACATTTTGAAGAAGCTAATGAATTTTTACATAATTGTAAACAAAAAAATGAGAAAGTTTTAGTTCATTGTCAAATGGGAATATCACGTTCATCTTCAATTGTTCTGGCTTATTTAATGAAGTAAAAAAAAAATTGATTGATTATATTCATTTATTATTTTGCTTTTTAAATTAAGATACCATCATGATTCTCTAATCAAAGCCTATGATTATTTACTTGAACGACGTCGTATTGCTGCACCAAACATTTCTTTCTTTTTACAATTAATTCGTTATGAAAAAGAATTACGTATAACAAAAGAAATAGATGAAAGTAAACATAATGATGATCAACAAAATCCAATTGAAAAACTTGATTCAAATCAAGATCCGGCTGTAGTGAATAACGAAATTGAGAATGAGAAAATGGAAAATTGGAGTTAATGTTGTTACTTTTTTTTCAATGAAAGAAAATATGAAATGCTAGTTGACACATATTCTATCTTATTGTATAAATGTTTATGTAAGCAATGCTTAATATTTAGTTTTTATTTAATCTATGAGTAATGAATATTTTTTTTTTGTTACAATAATATTTCTTTTATGTATGAATTTATAAATAGAAATAAATTGTCAAAATTATTTACATAAATAATTATATTATAAATATTATCAAATAAGTAAATTTATTCGAATAATCTTCGTAATTACATTTGTTTTAAGTTGTTATTAGTAATAAAGTAAATAGTGATTCATATGATTTTATGTTACTGTAATCTATTTCTAAATATTTAAATATATTGTAGAATATTTTAATAGTTTGCTAGTATATTGCACTTTTGTTGATAGACATAAGATTTTGGTCAGATAGATAATTATAAACCAAGGAAAAGTATTAGTTGTCAATCATTGGTAGATTTCCTATCGAAATTCAGAGAATTTTATATATATGTATAAAGACTAACATCATATGTTGAAAGTGATCATTTTGTCTCATTTTATGTTAGTTTTAAATATTGTTCAAGCAAACAAATTTTCATAACAATTCTCTAAAATAGATCTTACCATCAGTACATTTGACTCAATTTTTTCTATTTCAATAAACTAATATAGAAAAACAAACGTAAGTTATTTCCAGCTCTCTTCTTATTCAATCTGTTTAAGTTTTTTTTTTGAATTGAACATCATGTAGTTGCAATGTATCATGGTTGAATCGAGATAACTTATGAAAAAATTCTTCATTTAATTTTACGTTTTATTAGTGTCAAGTTAAACAATGTTTTGAGAATAGACCGATATATGAAACAATTATTGCACTATCTAAACAACTAATTCTCAATAAATCATCTTTACATTCATCCATTTTTCTTGTGATGTATCAATTTAATTTTTTATTCTTTTGTTTTTTTGTTGTTGCGAATGTTGTAAAGAAAATGGTAAAGGAACGCTAAACACAATAAAAAGAGTGATACACATAGTTAATATCAATAAAATAATGCCATAAAACAAGAAACTACAATAATTATGATATGTATGAGAATGATCATAAGATATTTCTGTTAATATCGAAAGACAATAAATGGAAAAACTAACAATGGAAAAGACAACAGTAAGCAATAAGGAAAAACTAAAAAATGCCAAAATAAAATGTGAAAAAAAAAAGAAAGAAACGAGATCCCTTTGTTTAACGAGAGATTTCATTGTCAATAGACAACATAGACATAAATGTAAATATAAAATGCAGATAGGAATGTCACTAAATACCTTACATAGACAACACTCAATAATTATGATTTTCAATATTCCCACGGCTTAACTTCTACATTGCTTCTGGTAATATATATGATATATCATCCCATGGATGACGATAAAGACCTTGTCGTAAACGTTTTTGATCAAGAAAATGACCTTAAATACATTGAAATACATTTTTTTAAAAAGATGTTTTAATATGAAAGATTACTAACCAATAAATCCAATACTTCGTCCAAGAACAAAAAGTCCATTAAGTGCGCCATTCTCAATAAATTCAGTTGCTTCTTCAAGTGTAAAACAACCACAATGACGCAAAAGATCTACCATAACAACGCCAATACAACCATCAACATTCAAAATTAAATTAGGCTTCTGAAAAAAAAAATAATTTTTAAGTTCATGAACACAAAATATAATAGAATTTAGATTAGTCTCATCCAACTTGCAAATGTTATTTGTCTTTCCTACACATATAGTAACGATCTTGTAAATAACCTTTTTAACACTCACTTCACAAAGATCCACAAGCAGACGCGGAATAATTTCAGAAAAAAAGATGTGCATGATGCTCCAATTTGACTCGTATCATGACAAACACAAGAAACATTAAACTCGATCTATTATGTTTTATAGTTTAATCCGATAAGGATTGTATTGAAAGTTTTGTTGTATAGTATTACCTTGCTAACAGTAATTTTTTCTACTTCAAGTGCATAGTCAAGTAATGGTGTTGCTGGAAAATGTTGTTTAGCAAATTGTTTAAGAAGAACAACACGCATATCAGGATTGTTTAACTAAAATATAAATAACAGAATAAATTTTTTTTTTTAATCTCAGAAAAATTTTTATACCGATTTAACACGATGACCAATACCCATAAGAAGTTTTCCTTCTTTACGCATTTTATTAACAAAATCAGCTGGATGTAAACCAGCATCAAATGCTTCACTAAATTGTTTAGCAGCATTATCAAGTGCACCACCAAAACGATCACCCTAAATATTTAATTAAGTAAAAAACAAAATAAAAAGAAAATTTTTATCTATTGTTTCTTACAATTGTTAATAAACCAGATGCTAAACATGAAACAAGATCTTTACCAGCACGTGCACATACTATGGTATTATGTGCACCACTAACTGCTGGTCCATGATCAGCTGTTACCATAAGTGTCATTTCAAGAAATTCAGTAGCATATTTTGGTAAACTAAAAAGAAAACATTTAAATTAAAAAAAAAAAAAACTAATATTAAAAAATAACACAAAATAAAACAAACCGTTTTCTAAACCAAAGTAAACTAAGTACACCACCAATACCCACATCTTCTTTAATAACATCAGTTATTGGCATACCAGCATATAATAATTCTTGACCACGATCATCGACAATACTTGTCATAAAACTAGCTGGTTTACGTATTAAACCAAGTTCCTAAGAAAATAATTTAAAATAAAAAAATTTTCAATTAATAAATTTTATCGTACACGAGCCCAATCGTAATCCATAGGTACGGAAGGTGGTAATACATCTGGTTTAGGTGTTATTTGACCAGATTGTACAAGATTTTCAAATACCATACTAAATAATTAAATATAAAAATTTGTTTTTTATTTTAATCAAATTATATTTATTCTTTCATATACTGAATTAAATCGCCAAGTTCATCGAAACTATTTGGTACATAAGCACCTGCTTCTCGTAATGCTTTATTTTTTGCAACTGCTGTTTCACGATCATTATCAGCATGTGAACCAGCATGACCAAATTGAACTTCGGATGTAAACATTGATGCACATGTACCAATACACCAAGCAATTAATGGTTTTGTAATACGTTTAGATTTAATAGCTTCACATATATGATATTCTTCAATACCACCAACCTATTCAAATATTTCAATTAAGAAAATTTCTATATTAAAAAATTGACAGACATACTTCACCAAGAAGAACAATTAGTTTAGCTTCTGGATCATCTTCATAACGATAGATATGATCTGTAAATGTTGTACCAGGATAGCTAACATAAAACATAAAAATTATTTATTATTAATATTCAACAGGTTTGAAGTAAGAATAATTGTTTTTTTCTTTTATCAAACTTGCTTATATTAGAATCAGCTATATGGACAACAAAAAAAAAAACCTTTTTCAATTACCGATCTCCACCAATTGCAATGCCTTCATAAACACCATCAGAATTACGACAAATAATGTTATTCAATTCATTTGACATGCCGCCTGATCGAGATACATATGCAACACTAAGACAAATAATTTTTTTTTTTTTTATATACTAAAAAAACTTTAAGTATCATTGCATACCTTCCAGGTCGATAAAGTTTTGACATAAGAATATTATCGAGCATGCCACCAGTATGTCCAATTTTGAAACAACCAGCTTTTAAACCACCCACCTAAGTTTCAAAAAAAAACACAGTCTACAAAATAAAACTTCAAACAAGTTCACATACAGTTGCTGGTCCAATGAGAGAAACATCTTTTGTATTTGCCAATCGTATCATACGTCGTGTTAACTGTTCTGGAATACCTTCAGCTACAATTGCAATTGATCGAATCTACGTATTTAAAGAAGAGGAAAATCATGATTAAATCAAATATACTTTTACAACTCTTTTATTTAATATACCTGTGGATATTTCAATGTTTCCATTGTACTTTCGTATGCAGAACGTAATGATGCAAAATTAATAAGTACATCAGCTTCTGGATGTCGTTTCATACAATCAGCCATATTTTTATAACATGGCAAAAGAATTTCATCATGACCCCAATAAAATTTTTGTTTATGATCACCAGTAAATGGATAAATCATAGCAACAACCGATGGTTGTGTACGACGACATACATGATCAAAATCAAGCATACCTTGTACAGCCTAACAAATAACAAAATTTAACTATATATATATATATATATTTATTTTATAATGATTTACTTTTGTTTGCATGCCCCAAACAATAGCTTTAGTTGTATTTGAAAAGAGTGGACGACCCAAATTATATTTACGTTCATCATCGTTAACTTTTGTTGTTGGACTTGATCCATTGTTAGATACAGCTTGAACTTCACTTTTCTACAATAGAATAATCGTATTTTAAAAAATTCATTTGCGATAGGAAAAAACAACAACATATAAAAAAAAACCAAGGCATACCAACAACGGTTGAGTACCAAGACTGGTAGAATTAGCACGAGTTTCGCGTGGCACGTCAAAGTTCGTTTTACGTTGCTAGATTAAAATGCATAACAAACAAAACATATAAACATACTACGACAATAAGCAAAAAATAAATATGAAAAATGAATATGAATAGTTATTTTTTGTTTCCCATCACCAATATTAACAGATGTTTTTCTTGTTTTTTTTTAATTGATGCTCACTGTGTTCATATCAAGCAGGGAAATCTTAGAAGATATTTCTCAAAAACACCATACGAAAGCAAACTATTTAAACTATGAATAATTCGTTCTTTATTTTATTATATTCTTACACTGCCACTGGTCGGAAGTAAGAAATTTGCTGTTGTTAATTCGGCTTGTTCTGGAGGAGCAATAGGACGTTTTCCTGAATAATAAATAAAAAGAAAGAATTATAGTAAAAAAGATTACTATGATAAATAATAAAAAAGAAAAAAACAAGAATACCGAGTGCCATGCCAACAATAGCTGTCATATGAGTTTCAGCTCCAAATACATGTACAGGAACACCTAATGTTGCTCCTACTTCACGCATAACACGTAAACCTTCTTGATAATTTGGACCAGCACGACGAACGAATATTGATATTTTATGTTCAACTAAATGTTCACGATGTTCTCTTAATGCTTTTACAATACCCTAGAATAAATAATATTCAATATGGATTTCGAAAATCGCTATAAATCTTCTAAATAAAAGAATATATATATAACCTTAAATGTTGCTGCTACATTTGTAAAATTTGCAATACCACCACCAATAATTAAAATTTTTCCATCAGGATTTTTTTCTTTAAAAATTAATGATAAAATTGTTTTTGCATATTCATATGTTTGTTGTTCACTTGGTGCACCAGAATATTCACCATAATTAGCTAATTCAGATGCAAAACCCATATCGCAAATAGTATCACTATAAATTAAAATAGTCAATATCATCAATAATTAATTATAATAAATAACAAACCTATAAATAACTGATGCACCACCACCAGCTACCATTGTCCATACACGACCTTTTGGATTAAGAACCGTTAATTTTAATGATGCTCCAGATTTTGCATCGAGTTCAGCAATATAAGCTTCCTAAAAATTAATTTGAAAAGTAAAAATATTTCTAAATTAAATTAATAATGAATTTCGATTTACTTCTGGAAAAGCATCACGACCAAATGGTGGTGGAAATACAATTTGACCCCATTTTGAAGCACATAAATATTCAGCTGTTTGATCAAGACGACTAGCTAAATCAAGTATATAAACAGTATTTGTTGTAACAACTAATGGATTAATTTCTAAATAAGTAAATTGTAATTCCATATAAACTTGAAATAATTTTGTAATAAATGCTGATAAATGTCTAAATTATTATTAAATTAAAGATTTTATTTATTTTTTTTTTAAATAAATATTGAGATTTCTTTTACGTACGATCGTCGGACATCAGGTATATTTTTTAATAAAGTTTCTTCCATTTTATTCACATTAAATGCATCATCAATAACAATTGTATATTTTAATGCTTTGGAATCAACATCACCAACATCAATGCCACCTTCATGATGAAAAAGTATTATTTCACCATCACGATTTGAATAAATGCAAATATACATTTCATCGGCTTTGTTATGTTCAAGATAAGGTTCAATAATAAAATGTTTTAGTTTTCCTGTTGTATGACCAATCTTAGAAGAAGAAGAAAAGAAAAATATATAGATTGAAAATATTTTATTTCTCAATGTTTCGAACCGAAATTTCTTTGCCAAGTGTTTCTACTATAAAATCTTTAGCTCCTTGAAGACTAACATCGCCTCTAATAAGACCTAATTTACCACGTCGTTTTATTAATTGATCAGGTTTAACGACTAAACGCTAGAAAATGAAAATTTTTATAATTAAAAAATATATATTAAGTTTAAATTAAAAACCTCATTTTCTAACCAACGATTTTTATCTATAAGTTCATTCCAATTTGTGTCTGCATCGACGTCAACACAACGACATTCGGCTGCTGTTGAATTAAGATACTTATTTAAAAGTTTTTTACCCGTTGCTTCATAGATAGCTTTTGTTGACATGATTAAAAATGTTCTAAAAACAAAAAAAAAGAAGAAATTGTTATTATGACCTTGTGTTTCACTAGAATATTAATTTAATAATGAATTAAACAATTTGATTGGTGTTTTCACGAATCAATATCAATTAAAACTGTTTTGTTTAATTTTAGTTCGTATAATATGTACAACACCTACGTAAAACAAAATCAATCGACTGTATGATGTCAACGCCTTTTTTTTTCTTTATTTAGGCTACATGTAAAGCATACTAGTAAACAAATGGTTAACGGCAAGAACGTAAGAACCATAACAAATGCATGTCCTTTTTTCTAGAATCAACATACCAACTACTTATGACATCTTCAGGTTGCCTGTTGAAAGAACCAAAATGCAACAATAGTTATTCAAAAACAAAAATAGCTAAGCTATTCATTATAAAATAATAAAATAAGAAATCTATTAGGTGTAGTTTAAATAAATATGTGATCCATGATTTTGTCAACGATATATCCACATAATATCTTTTCGTTAATTACTCTTAATGGACCGATTTAATAAACACTTTTGATTGTCCATGGTGATAAATTATTTAATTTCAAATAAAATAGTTTTCTCTCTTCATTTATTTTATCATAGTGCACCGAACACTATAGCATAGAAGTTTGCAGTACTCACCAACACCCAGTCAAACACGAAAGCTTATAAAATGCGTGTATATGCACGAATGGTTATGATATGGCATGTGTAGGAGTGCGTTACAGTATAAACTATATTTGCGTTTACAAGCATGAAATTGTGTACATGTACATGTTTAATATTGTCACTGCATGCAAGGACATAGCCCACGCGTGTACATGTAAGACAATGTCAGAATGGCCAAAAAATAAAGCGCATGTATTAAACACACTTGAACACGTAGAAGTTTTTTTCCACAGATAAGATTTGAACATACATACTTTGCTTTATATGATGAACTTCTTCAACATTCGATCGTCTACTTATATTAGAGGTGCAATCACAACCGAAGGATATAATGATCATCTGATAACTACTGCGTACATGTGAACATGACTATTAATAATCATAGTCGAATTCGAAAAATTGCATAAGATTTTTGAGCCAATATAGTGCGAACATATGAGAACGATTTCATTTTAATGAGAAATAACTAAATGAACGCCGAAGAAAAATACTAAATTCTTGCATGGAACAGTATATACACTACAAAATGGTAGAATCACTTTGATAACAGTTGTCGTAAATACGACGTTTTGCACTGATATGCAGAATATAGGAAAATTTTAGTCATCTTGCACGTACATGTGAGTCATATATTTTGCACAAACACATAAGAATACAATTATTTGCAAGGATAACAGCTATGTAGTCTCGCTTGTTTTGCTTAAAAATTTTAAAAATTGTATTTTCACACATGTGTTTGCGACATGCAAGTCTATGCATATGTTATTGTCTTGTATGTATGCATAACAATTGCAAATTTTTGAATTTACTTGCATCTTCATGCATGAGACACAATAATTTTAAAAATATTTTGCAAGTATAAACGCAAGTTTTTGAAAATTCCCTTCAAACATACGAATTCTTTTAAGCTTTCGCGTTTGACTGGGAATGATGTGAAGTTGAAAAATTAGCTGAAGTAGAATAATCTACGCTCTCGTTATTAAAAAAAATATTAGTTTCATCTTTATGCTTTGGCCAATTTAAGCCGTACTTGCATCTCTCTGACCTGTTTTTTTTCTCATAACATTCTTATCGATGATCTTCATCAGCAAAGATCATCATAATCAAAATAAAACGATAAGTGCAAACCTATCAAAAACCCTATTCTAACGTCATTACAGCTATTGTCTATGTGTCTGAGGATTGCTCTCAAGTGTTTTCTTTATCTTTTAAAGAGACACAGACAGCTCATGATCCTTTTCATTTATCACTTTACTGAACAGGACATGACCAATTGTGCATGAATATAGTCTAGTCTGCTTTGTGGTATCTACGACAAATAGTCGCAGTACGGGAAACTAAAACTGTCAAAAAATTTTATTAGTGTATTACAGAAAATAATTCACAGAAGTCAAAAAAGTAATTAAAAATCTATTCAAGGACAACGAACGTTAAATATAATAAGTATAGGTGCAAATGTTTATTAAAGCCTTCTAGTTAGTGCTGCACGATAACAAATAGTAGTTGCTTAAAAATCTACCATAATTCATATAGTTGTTGTTTATTCTGAGATTTTCACCAATTGAAATTTTTGCTATTTCAACATGGATATTGTTTTTAGTTTTTTCGTAACATTTCAATCAATCGAAAAGATGAATGTCGACATTCATTGACTGTTTTCCGGTGAGACTCTCAACTTATTCATTCCATGGAGTACATCTTCATTTTTCACATGTCATCCTCACCTTTGTGCTGTGCTATGTATGATTAAATTGCATGTGTATAAATTGAAATAATGTGATACATGAAAAAGAATCACGCTTCTATTGAACATGCGATTAATTCTATATTGCAACTAATTGTCGTTCGACAATTGTTAAAATATATATTTTATAAAGACACAAATCTTAATTTCTTCTTTTTCTTTAAGAACGTTTTTAAGAATTTCACTTTTTTTTTCATATAAAAACTGTATACTACTAGATAAAATTCAAAGAATAAAATGTTCTATCTAATTTATGTATTTATTTATTCTTATTTAAGTATTAATATTAAAATCAAGAGTATGAATAAAACTTTTGCTTTCGACAATATCTTGTTCATTATGACATGTTGAAAGAATATTCGTTGATGTTTGAGAATGAAAATCTGAATCGAATACTAATTCAATAGCTGTTGTTGATGATGATTGTTTTCTTTGTGTTGAACGAGATGATCTACTACTTTTCGGAATAATTGTTTTCTTATTAAATGTGATTAATTTTTCATTGACTTCTTCACGTCGTTTATCAATCGGTTTAGCAATAAGTGTTGTTTTTGAAAATTCTTTTCTTGCTTTTAAAACAGGAGAAGAAAGATTAACAGGCGATTCAATTTTTTCATCTTTGATATTTATTGAATGATACATATCATTATTATTTTCAAATGTTTGTATTGATAATAATGATGTTGTTTGTTGATCATGATTGATATCAGTTGGTAATGATGATGATGATGGTGTTATTGGTACTATAGGTAAAATCAAATCTTGAACGTTTGATGAATGATTAACAAGCATTTGTTGTTTTTGTTGTTGACGTTCTTTTGCTCGAAGACTAATAAAAACAATCACAAAAGAATATTGTTTTTTTCTTTTTATTGAAAAATAATCATATAGATTTTATTATATTACCGCATATTTTTTTTACGAATTAATCGTCGTAAATTTTTTTCTTCATCATTAAGTTGTTCAATTTGTTTACCTAAATCATCAATTTGTTTTTTAAGTCCATTATTATCTATAGGTGATGATGATGATGATGATGAATCAATTGTATTTTGTTTAAGTTGTTGTAATAATTTATTTTGTTCACAACGAAGTGCTTCGACTTGAATAGGAATTTGTTCAACTTTTACCTTTCGAGAAAAAAAATCACAAATAAGTTATTAACGTTATAATAATTAGATAAATCTACTTCTCGATTATGCCACATTAATCGAAAAGCATCAGGATCTCGTTGTCGAACATGAGATTTTGTTGTAGGTATATTTAATTTTATTTGTTTTGCTGGTGTTATATCACATGTTAACATAGTCAATGGTCTATAGAGAATAAACATTATCGTTTTTTTATGTAATTAGAAGAAGAAAAATGATTGTAATACCGTTTTTGAATACTTGTAGTTGAAATTCCAATATTTTGCAGAACACGACGAGCAAGATGTAAAAGTTCATGACGACGTGTTAAAAATTCTTAATTTATAGAAGAATTCATTTAACTATGAAAATATAATTTAGAAACCTGGCCTATGAAAACAAATAGCAGCTGCAGCTTCATTAATAAGAATCTAAATTTTATTATTAAAATAAAATAAATAAAACTTTTTTCTTTTTTACTTCATGTAAACTTAACACTTGATTAGGTGTTTTAGAATCAAATCGATTATCTAAAAAACAAAAATTTTGTTTTTAGGAAAATTCTTTTGATGATATGAATTAATCACAGATAGCTGAATATTTTCGAATACGTTGCCAACGATCTTCAAAATCTCTTGGCAAGTTCATTGTAGTCTAATCGATATAAATAGATAAATGTTAACATATCTTTAAGCTAGAAAATAAAACATACAAATAAATCTTTTGATATATTATTTCGTCCATTTAGTTTTTTAATTGTTGTTACTGGTAATAAATTAGCTAATCGTTCTGCTTCATCTGCAATCATTTTACGTTGATTATCATCAAGTAATTGATGAGTATTATTATTTTTAGAATGATCTATTTTCTAAATTAATAATAAATTTATTTCTTTTACTTCTAGAATTATTAAAAAAAAAAAACAACTAACATTTAGACACCAATTAGAAGAAATTTGATTGACAGATTTTGGTGAATTATTCGTTGATGTTGAATGAATAAGAGATGAAAATATATTTCGATCAGAGAATGTTTCATCTGTTGATAAACGACGAAGAGGAATAGTTGAATATGAATTATTTACAAATGTATATTCAATATTAATATTATTCATTGATTGTCGATAATCAGCTAAAGCTTTTTTAAATCGTTTAACATGTAATGGTTTTGATATCATTCCAACGAGAGTAATTATTTCTTGAAAATCATCATTTTGTGCTTCAGCAAGTTGTTTTAAATCATCACCACCTATAAATATATATATATATATATACAGATAATACAAAATGATCAAAAAGTTTGTCAGAATTAAAAAAAAAAACGTGAATAACTCTTGAATAGTTTATGCAACTTATATGAATTTTCAATAAATTTGTTTGACGTTTCTTTCAAGTTCAGATCAAATACTTATGCCTATAAACATTAGGATCAAAACAGTTTTATAGATGAATGAATTTGAGTCGCCTACAATTTTAAAAAGGAACCATGTGAGTTGAATTTGCCATAGAAACGATGAATGAAGAAATTTTTAAATGCTTTTTATGAAACTGATACTTGAACAGACTAATCACATTCTGAACGTTCTACAGTAATGGCAGAAGAAAAAGACGATGCAGTTTATGTTACTTATGTCCACGCCAGAATTAAAGAGGCTTGGGTGTAACCTTGATAATTCGACAACGAAAACAGTTAACAACCTGTAGTTTAAAAAGAAGAACTCTGAGTGTCTTTTTGTCTGACAGTATGCAAGACAAAATTGTTTTAAAACCCATCATCTTAGAAAAAAACTCAAAAAAAAAAAATACATGAAATTGGTGTTCCATTTCGATGTAATTTTGATTTTGACTTATGCTTTCGATGGAGAGACTTCAGATCTATTGTTCAAGGCACGATTTCAAGTGATTATCTTCTTACATCCACATGCTGAACAAACGAAATCATGTATCTATTTGGTTAATTCTTTTGGTTTTTAGTAAATTTTTTGACTTTTTACATGTATTTGTTTTTGACTGTTTTGCAAAGGTAATGGGTTTAAGTTGCAAGACAACATTTCCACTAGCATGCGAATTCAAAGAGGTAATTCTTTTCGATGAGCTTCATACTCATTAGACTTAGCATCTGTTTGAATTCTTTATACGACAACACATGAAAGAGAATATCTGCAAGATGCCTATTAAAGATCAGGTTGAATTAACAAGAGAAATTGATGAAAACAATGCAATAGTTTCAATAGAAATTCCAACTAATGTTTCATTTTTCGAAACTTTGAAAACAATAGACTTGTAAGTTCAATTTTGAACAATGAGCACAAAGCAAATTATACGAAACAAAACTTTAAAGCCAAATAAAATGATAGAAAGCTCATATGTATGACTTAAATTCATTCAGAGTTATTCACATTCTTTTCCTGAAATTCAAGTTGAGAAAAAAAACGTGAATAACTTCTCACCAATTCGAACGATTTAAATATTTTTTTTTTACAGTTTGATCACATATTCATTAAAGTTTTCAGATAAAATATTTGCATTTGAAGAAGTTAGAGTTAAAATAGTTTTACTCATAGTCAAGTTCTAATAAGCCAGCGTCGTAAAACGGTAGCAACAAATTTATTTTAGAAAAAGCACCCCTACTAAACATGGTATTAGTAACACATGCCAGAAACTTTGTGAAATCAGTACAGTCGAAAACCGAGGATCATAGAGTAATTACTGAAGAATTAATGAGATTTGTAAAAATAAGCCAGGATAAAATATTCAGTGATAATTCGGTAGGATGTTGTTTATAGTAATGAGCAAGCTTTTGTAATAAACCAAATATTTGATTTCTGACTCATTTGCACAAACACTTTTAATGTCATTGATTTTTCCTTCAGTAATTGTTCTACGATCTTTCAGAACGTTGTCGATTTTCGACAGTACCAGTTTCACAAAATCGCTGAAATGTGATTGTAATACTGGATTCAATGGGTGGCTTTTTACTAAATTCGACATGGTGGTTGACTCAAATTTGGCGATCAGTAAAACTATTTTAATTGTGACTTCTATAGATACAGACATTTTATCTGAAAACTTTAATGAATATGTGATCAAACTATAACAAAAAAAACCAAATCCTTTGAATTAGTGAGGAGCCATTCAAGTTTTTCTTTTTCGTTCGGATTTTTGTAACACCCTGTTTATATACATTTTATCATACCTTGTTCGATGAAAGCAGAATAATATTGTAAAAGATTAGCTTGCTCAAGAAATTTGAATAATGTATCTTCTAAATGATTTTTTGGTAATGAAATTATTGTATTTTCAGTCCATCGAAATGTGTCAGATTCTACTGATGACTGTTGAAAAGTATCCTCTTAAAAAAGAAAAAGACTTCAATAAAATATTTTATAATAATTTGATTGAATTATAAACATACGAATTGATTGTTGTTCTTTTATTATATTTTGATGATCGATTATAAATGGTTGAGATGTTTGTATTGAGTTATCAAGTAAAACATTATTATCATTGATAATTTGATTTGTTTTTAATGTTTGTTTTTTTATGATTTTATTATTATCATCATTATCATCTTGTTTTAATTGTTCATTTTCTAAAATTATTTTTTGTGTCATAACAATTTTATTTGCATTTTGTATTTGATGTAATTTATCAATTGTATTTAAAAGTCGTTTTGCTTTTGTATTCGTTATTGTTGGTACGACTACTGATGAAGAAGATTTTGATGGTAAAATTAAAAGTGATGGTGACAATGTTTCTGAAAATGTATTTAATTTTATTGATCGATTAGTGTTCGAATTTGTCGATGAATTTAATAAATGATTATTTAATATAGTAGAAGAATGTATAGTTGTATTAGAATTTGTTTGAATAAAGATTGATGGTATAGCAGTTGCTTTTAAATAACGTGTAAGACCAGTATGATTAGCAATATAATCATCTGGATGAAAATGTCGATAGCAAATTTTTGAATGTTTATTTATTGAAAGTGTTTGTGAACAATGATTAAATACAGTCTGTCGCCATAATTCAAATCGATGTTGATCAACAGGAAATGAATGAAAAAGAAGTCCTTTAACAAAAAAACAACAACAAGAAGTTGTAGGAAAAGAAAAAATATGTAATCTCATTGAAATAAAAAAATACCTTTACGAATATTCCGTCGATTATGAAGTGGACAACTTATAATTGCACAATTATGTACCATTGTTGATAGATTTTACTAAATGAACAAATGGCGCGTAAGAAATATATTCTATATGTATGATTATAAATTTCTATATTTCCTTAGCTGCAAATTCTTTTGACTCAAATTTAAGTTTTCTGTTTTGTTTTGTATTTTAGCGCCAATGATAATATTTGTTACCTGTATGAGTGTCACTTTTTAATGAATCGATAAAGGATTATGACAGTCAAATAAAATGACAATAGTAATGATCACTTTGCTTCTTTTAATGTATGGTCCTTGTAATACATATTTATTTCATTAGATAAGGACTCGTGTCGGCGCCAATATCCGAGGACTAACATTGTCGTTCTTTGAATGATGAAAGGTAGAATTTGCTGCAATTCATTAACTTAAAGTCATAATTAGAAATTTTAGTTTGATTTGAATTAAAATTATAAATTTAATTGTTGATAAGTATTGAAGTTTATCAAATAAAACAAAACGAACATAGGACTATTCTCGTAGATATGAAACCAGATGAAGATGACGCTTTTTTTAAAATTATGTATTCATGACATGATAAAATTCGCGAAAGTAAATTAGGCATCAATTATTAACGACATCTTTTGAAAAATACTGAAATTTTAATTAAAAATCATTTCAACAAATTTATTTGACTTTCGAATTTTAATGAAAGAAAAAAAACTTTTTTTTAGAAATGTATATATCAATATGTAATTTCTATCGAGAACATAAGAACAAAGAACAAATGAATATCGTTGAAAGTTTAGTAAACAAACAAACAAACAAGAAAAAGTACTGATCATTATCCAGTTAATATTATTTGTTAATGCGAAATTCTCATTCAATGTCTCAAGTAGAAATATTTGTTGGAAACATTCATCGTGATATTTCAAAGCATGATCTTGAAGAGTAGTTATTTGACCCAAAAAAAAAACTTCATTACAACTCTAATCTTTTTTTTTTTTCGTTAATATAGTATCTTTGAAAATTATGGACGTGTAGTCAGATGTGAACTCAAACAAGGGGCATCGAGTAAATTATTTATAATTCTTCATTGATAAATATGAATTTTTTTTTGTCTTTTTCTTGTATATAGATTTTGCTTCAAGTTATGGTTTTCTTGAATTTGAATCAAGTTCCGATGCTGAAGTAATTATTATTAAATACTATTTTAAAAAAAGCCAAAGAAACAATAAAGCTTTCAATTTATACTTAACTAAGACCTTTTTGTTTTCTAGGAGTGCATCATGTATTCCTAAAGTTTCTTTTCATACATATGCACGTCTTCGATTCATTATTATATATATGATGAACAACGTGTAACATGTTTCAGTATCAGTTTGATTGAAGGTGGTGGTGATATTTCATACATCAGCAGTGTATTTTCCCATTTTCAGAGTTCTTTTCATACTATTTAAATAGAAGGTATGTCGAGTTATGAGAGAAAAATTATAATTTGTATGTCTTTTTTTCTTTTATTTCGAAGTTCCTGAACATCTATAGGAAATTTTTATGATTAATTGTTTTGTGAATATTTTAGGCAGCTATTAAAGGAGAAAATGGACGTGAACATCAAGGAAAATCATTTATTGTTCAGTGGGCAAGATCAACACGACGTGGACCATCAGTAAAAAAAAAACCATATCTGAAAGGAATTTTTTTTAATTTTATTAATGTGATTTTATCTTTTCCAGAACGGTAATAATCGTAATAATTTAACGTGTTATAATTGCTCACGTCCTGGTCATATATCTCGTAATTGTCGAGAAAATCGAGGTGATGGCGATGATCGTTATCATAATCGTCGAAATACAAATTATGATCGTCGAGGTGGTGGTGGTCGTGGAGGATATCGTCGACGTTCACCGTAAGTGAATATTTTGTTTTTCTATTTTACATTGTTTTTTTTGTTCATTTATTTTATTTTTAACAGATCACGATCACGATCACGTAGTCGATCATAATCGAATATAGAACACAAAGCATAATCTTTCCATGGACAATTTCAGCAATACAATCCCGAAAATAAAAACAAAAAAAAAAGACAATTTTTCTGTTCTCATGTAAAAGTGATCATCTCCTGTACGTGTTGTATCTTGAAATATATATCTATGATTATTTTGTTTTTTCTTTATCAACATATGGATAATATCCAGAAGGAAAAGAGAGAAAAAAAAAATTGTGCAAATAAACAGACAAAAGAAATCTACATCATCAATCAATCGATCGATTTATATCTGGATGCTCTTTTGGATCGATGATTTTTTTTTTATATTATTTATAGTAATCTTGACGTAATATGAAGTAAATCATCAAGATGATATTCCCATGATACTTGTCTGTTTTTTTGTCTTAGCTACCAAATAATAATAATTCAATTTTTCTCGTTTCAACAAACTATAATAGGAAAGTAAGCGGATAGAAGTAATCCGAAATTTTATTTCCTTTCTTTTTTTTTTTTGCTTTCAATAGAATTTAACTAATCATTATCTATCGGATAAATTGTTTTCGAAAGAATGATTATTATTGGTAGATGCTGTTACAAAATATAAAAAGCAGTGTTTTTCACATGAATATGAGAATACCTGTTCTACATTAAGTAGCTTGCTACGATGTGCAATACACACTTAAGAGGTCTATCGGAAAAACGCACAGCATATGGAGAAAAGAAGAATAATATGACTTATACTCTACCGGTAAAAAATGAATGAGTGGAAGAGAGCGAACGGACAAATGTCAACATATCAGATTCTTCGACTCTATTGACGAACAACATCATTAAAATAAAGAACGATGTTGATTAGTTGTAAAGCTTATTCAAACATAGCAACTATGAATCCTTTTATAATAAAATTGTATATGACAAAAGATTTTTTCGAGAAACAACATCTATATGCATCCATGTTGGTTACAGGCGTTTTTTTTTTGGGGTTTGCTAATTTGTCGATTTCCGGTGTGCGAGATGGAGATGATGGCTAGAAACAAAAACGTTTGTACAAGAACGAGTTTTGTGTTTTTTTTCTGCGACGATAACGATGACGATGTCGACGACGACTTGGATCAATATTGGGAACAACAACAGTCAATGCAACGGGACTGTAGTGAAGCAGTAAAAAAAAAAAGAAGAAGAGACATCACGCAGATTAGATTCCATAGAGAGAAATTAATTTTTTATTTGTGTTCTCTTTTTTTCTACTCTGCCAAGTTGTGATTGAGGCGTACAAACGACATGCGAGCACACATACACATATACGCAGAAAATCGCATTTTTTGATCTTCGCTTCTCGCTTTCTTACTTTCTTTCTTGTCGATTTCCTATAGTCGAACAGTATTAACTCATATGGGAACACTTGTTATTGGTATTATCTATCCAACATAGGTCAAAACGAGATGTCTTTCTTCTTTCTTATAGGCAGTAACCAATCGTCACTATCTATAACAAAAATGTCTGATGATGAATTAATCATGATGACAACTTTATCATATTTGATTGTCAGTCTTATAATTCATGTTATATTTTTTATAACAATAATTTTTAACAATAAATGGGACATTATAAATATATCACGACACTTATTTCATCGATATTTTAAACAAACATCTACAAAAAAACTTAATTCAGGTTCGTTTATTAACAATATATATATATATATATATCTAGTTATTGAAATAATACTATGAAGAAATTAGTTGAGTGATAATAAAGAAGTTTAGATTAAGTCAATTTTTATTTCATGTAAAATTCAAATATATAAATTGTTACAAATTTTAAAATTTAAGTATTTTGTTTTTCTCTATGGAAAATTTCTCTATTTGGGGATATATGATCAAGTAGAAAGTGTAATAAGACTTTAGAATACTAAATTCTTCATCATTGAATAATGCTATACTGCAAGACTAAACTTCAAATATTTGTTTAAAATACATAATATTATTCTATTCTACTTTCAAAGAACAGAACAAAAATGAATTAGAATTCTGATTTAAATGCATTTATCCTTTTGTTTTTAATGTAGTAGATACATCGTCATTAAATATGCAACAAACTTGTTCAAATGTTATAGAAACTGAAGCATTGAAATGTCTTGTACCTAATAAAATCTCCTCTGTATCACCATCGTCTTCATCATTATCATCGGATTTTATTCTTGAATCTGAAACAATATTAAATCGAACAATTCGTTCATTTGGTCTTCTTCTATGTACATGTTTATTACTAACTAATTGGTTACGTTTGGGTATATATTTATTTCCAACATTTCATCCAAATATTATACGATATTCATCAAATTTATGTATTATACAAAGTTTTTTTCTTCACGTTTTAACATTATTTCATATAAATTTGACCATCAGCATACGTCTTCTATGGCATTATTGTTTTGTATTTGATAAATATTGGCAAACAATAACATATCGTCGTATATTAACACTTTTTCTATGTATTTTCATTGGTTCATGTATATTTACATGGCCAAGTATAAGTAATGATTGGGCATCAATAATATTTGATCAAATATTACAGATATGTATTGTTAATTATAAATTTCATTTATCATATACATTTTTTGTTTTATCATTTACTTGTATAATACCATATATATTATTAATTATATCACATAATCGACAAATGAAATCTATAAAACATCGAATATTAAAATATTTTTCAACATTTAACATTGATCAACATAGACATAAATTGAATATAGTTCAACGAAAAAAAAATTTTCAATATGCTTCATATATCATTCTCATCTGGTCATTTATTAATATTCTACTTTTAATATGTATACATATACCAATAGAACGTCAAAGAATATTAAAATCTGTAATATATTATGTACAAATGTTTGCATTTCTTATTGATCCAATTTTATATATATTTATTTTTCGTTCGTTATCAATTATTACTCTATTACGATCGACAGATGAATTTTAGTTTTGAAAAATATGGATAAATTTTCAAATAATAAATAAAGTCCTGTTTGATATCATTAATTATCTCGATTGATATGTTGAATTAAAAGAAAGCAATTTTATTGCAGAAGAATCAAGTGTTTTTAATAAGTCCTTCAACTAAACAAGAAAATCTATACTTCAAAATTAGATCTAAAGAATTTCTTCAAAAAGTTTAGCTGGTTTTTTTTGCTCTACAAATTTCATCGTCAAATATTTCATACTGAATCGTTCTAAGTTTTCTCATCGCATTTATATTTCTTACAGTTTCTCATAAAGATGATTAACAAATTACACGTAGAGATGCACAAATGTCTAGATCATAATGTCAAAGATAACATTCTTTTCCCTAATAAGAATATAGTTCCTGTGGATTGTTTGTATTAAATGTGATCTGTTGTTTTTCCTCTATCCAAAGCGCTAGTCGAAACACATGAAATAGAATACTAATGTTACGGAATTGGTCAAAAATTCGTAGTTTTTAGTTTTTTTTTTCAACTAATCCCAACTGATTTTGACACTTGTGTTTTGCATTAGATAAAACCTAAGAAAAGATTCGGAAACAGCGTTCAAAACTGACTACAACTGGCATGAAAAATCGTCAGGAGTCTAGTAAATCCCAATACCGGGTATGCGTTTTTGTAAACAGGAATAAACCGATTTATTGAATTTCTCATCGAAGTTTACAATTTCCGAATTCCTAACGATTCTTCAAATCAGTTGTATTCAATTTTGAATACTCTTTCCAAAACTATTCTTGAATTTTGTCTAATGCAAAACACAGATCTCAAAAATCAGTTGGAATTCGTTGAAAAAAAACTAAAAAATGCGAACTTTTGACCAATTCCGAAACGTTTGTTTTCTATTTCATGTGTTTCGACTACAGTTTCGAATGAGCAAAAATAACTGATCATGATTGATATAAACAATTCACAGGAATTATATTCGTAGATATGAAAAAAAAATTCCATGTTCGACATCATGTTCTAGAAGTTGGTGTATTCTTAATTACATATCAATTTTTGATCAGAGAACAATGGGAGAAAATTGAACTGAAAAAACTATGAATTTCATATATTTAAAGAGATCATCCTATACCAGAATCTAATTCAATCATGTCTATACTGTTCGATAGCCCACACTATCTACTTGCATAATCTATATCACTTTTCTTGATATTCAAATTCTAATATGATTAAAAAAATTTTGAAAAAAAAAATTTTACATATTTTTCATAATGCTACTTGAAATAGTATTTATAGTTTCATGCTTGATAATATGAAATATATTTCAAATATACAGAATTGTAGAAATATTTTGCTCTTAAAAAAATGATAAGTATAGTAGTCTCTTGTGACTTTATTTATTAATAATTTACTTAGACATTATAATACAAAATTGTGTATGTTATCTATATTTGCTATATATTAGAGCTTTTTTATTGCTATTTCTAGAAGAAATAGTATAAAGAATTCGATGCTTACACACACAGAGGGTTTTACAAAAAAAAGATTCTGCAACAAGAAGAGAATCTCGAAAATCAACAGATATGCAATCAGTAAATGTTAATACTAAACAATTTTCGAACTTTTTCTCATGAGTCGATTGGTTTTTATTAGCATTTGTATTAATAATATTTTTTCCTGATTTTTCTACATCTGTAAACAATCTATTTGTTGAATCTTCATTGATTATTTGATAAGTGCAAAAGAAATCTTGACAATTCTGTGTATAAGAGATATATTACAGATTGCCAAACATGAAACTATAAATACTATATCAAATAGTATTATGAAAAATATATACATAGAATTTTTTTTTGAAAACTTTTATAAGTCATATCATCATTGGAATATGAAGAAAAGTAACATAGATTATACGAGTAGACAGTGTAGACTATCAAACAGCATACACATCATTAGATTAGATTTTAGTATAGAAGAACTTCCTTAAAAAATGTGAAATCCATAGTTTTTTCTAATTCAATTTTTTCCGACACTATGTAATAGAATCCGATAGTATATATAACGTTGAATAGAGGAAGTCTTCCTTGACAAACCGACATATATCTGGTTTTCTGGTTAAAACCTTATAATCGTCTTTGATTAAATTGATGTTTAAAAATTAAAATTTACTCAATGGAAAAATTTCTTTTTTCAAGTAATAATACTATGTAACATTAGCCCAATTTATTTTCTTTCAATTTTCTTTTCTTTTCAATAAAAAATAAAATTAAAAAGAAAAATAAAAAAATATATTTATGATAATAATAAAAAATAGCCATTCATTTGTACTTGTTCCAATGAATTCTATTAATTCAATTAATATTGTCTTATGGAAATTTCATTTATTAATTCATCACACAAAATAATCGAAATTCATTCATTGAAATTTACTTTTTCGTCTTATGCGGTGTTGTGTTACTAGATATGCTACTTCGTCGTCGATGAGTAACTTTCTGTGATACACCAGTTCGAGTTGGTGATAATAATTGATGATGAGTACTATCACGTCCATCTATAGCACTCATATCGGATGAATTATCGAATAATTCACTTGGTAATTCAGTACTTAATGGTGCATGAACAGTTTTTCTATATGATGGTGTTTTAAATGTTTGTAATTGATTAAACATTTTTGAAAAATCATCACGCCATGTTGATGATGATGAACTAAAAACTTCACTTTGACTTATCAATGGTGATACAGCAAAATCAGCTCGATGTTTAACTTGATTAACAAGTGATAAATCCAGACTTTCATTACGTTTAAGGGTCATACGGCGTGATTCAATTGGATCAACAAATCTTGATGGTGGAGAAACAACATTTTCATTATTACAATTTAATGTAGTTGGATAATAACTACGAAAATTTTTTGAATTTGATATACACATTGGTACGGATGCAACTGATTCAGTAGGACGAATTGTTGATGTTATTGGACGTATTCGAACTGGTATTGATGCACGTCTTTCAATTAATGATTTAATAGTTATATGTGATACATTTTTATTTGTTGATATTTGATTATTACATCGATGAAGTGTTATTTCATTACGTAATAAATTTTGACAACGTTCATGTTTTAATGCAGAAGCAATATCATATGCTGTTGAGCCATAATGATTTTTAATTGTTAAATCAATTGAATAACGTTTCATAGCATCAAGAATAGAACGAGTAATATCAGCATTACCTGATGAGCATGCATAATGTAAACATGTATTACCATAAATATCTGTTGTTCGATTAAGATCAAAATCAAGTGAAGCAAGATATCGTCGAACTAAAATTAAACGTTGTGTTATAATTGCATAATGTAATGCATTAAGTCCACGTTGATCTTGATCTTCTATTTTTGCACCATATTCAAGTAAAGTCATAGCAATATTTTGTGCCCAACAATCATTATTAACAAAACAGCAATACATAAGGCCATTACGACCTTCATTATCACGTTCACGTGCATTAGCTGAACCTGATTCAAGTAAATAACGAATTAATGAAAAATAACCTTTTTCAAAACAATAAAGAAGTGAACGTTGAATAAGACCACGTTCTAATTTAATCATATGAACTGATGGTTCTTCACTAAATGGTAAACGTTGTCGGATTGTAAGCATTTTTAATGGAAGTATTGATTGATGTATGTCATTCATCATCAAAATCTATTGTAATGTGTATACTTATTCTGATTTTTCTCACCTTGTATTTTAAACTAAGATTCTTTTAAAGTTTGTCTATGCAACGAAGAGAAAAAGAAGAAAGGGAGGGGAGTAGGAATGTATGATTATAAGTGTTTGTGCCATTAGATGAATGAAGTATGTCGACTGTTGTTTTTGACTAATCGTTGGCGAATAAGAATTAAAAAAAAACCCTAGTGCAAGAGAGATTGAGTTAATAAAATGATAATACTTATAGAGTTTGGTAATTGAGTGGTTTTTTTTTCGTTTGTGATTCTTTTTTTATTTTCTGTTCTTTCTTTTCATATTTTTTTTACGGACAGAAAAACGAAAAAACAAATTTTCTCTATAAAATCGAAACAAAAAACAACAAAAACGGCAACATAATAATAGTTGTTGGATTTGTTGCTTATGATATTCAATTGTTAATAATCTTGTTTTATTTTTTTTTTGTCTTTAAAATTGCAACTTATGTGGTAAAACACCATTCCAAAGTTGAAAACGACTTTTAAGATAACGACGAAGAAGACGTGAATCGGCATGAGTTTTAACAGCATTAACAACTACTTTATCGACATTAACTTGTGCTTGATTACGTTCTTCACGAAGTTTTGGTTTCTAAGAAATACAACAAAAAAAAAACAGTTGTTTTAGTTGAAAGAACTCAATATTTGAATTGATTCGATTAAAAAAAAATATCGATCTTTTCTATTTACAAAAAAAATTCTTCTCTAATAAATCGAAGTGAAGTTCATTAAGTTGAAAAAACATTTTTTATGTTTACCATGAAAATAATAAGAAAAGAATTTCATTCACTCAAAATAGAGAAGTTTCTATTTATGCTGGTCATAGTTTAAAAGTATCTCAAAAAAACAATGAACTACTGGAAGAAACGATATAATTTTAATGCAGATAGATTTCGTATGCAGTTATCAAAATAGATCATATTAGCTTCAAGCTATGTTTCTATAATCTTCATGTCTTTTAATTTGGTAGTACGTTTAACAGGGTGTCTTGGGAAGGGTTCGGTGGTTCCAAAAAAATCGGAACCGTGAAATCATCATTGTTTTCATTCTTGAGATTGAAGAATTCAGTATAAAATATGTGGTATCTTTAATCTCAACAAATCTATAGTGCAAATTTCTCAGAATAGATTTAAAATTTTCATATCTATCTGTTGATTTAACGATTTCGATTCTACGAGATACTTTGGGAGCAAAACTGAAATCGCTTTTTTCTTATTTTTAGTAACCGGAACTGCAGTTCCTGTTCCAAGTAATTTTTGGAACCGCCGAACTCTAGTTCCCAATGGGGAATGATCTCCCTCTTCTTGATGACCTCGAAACACTCCTGACTTTTAAACATAGAATCATTAGTGTCTTCATTTAAGTTTCTGCACTATAAGGATTAAATCATATTTTTCAATACTACCTGTTAGTAAAGGTTAGATAAAAGTTTTTACGATTTATTCATTTTCTTTAGCGTCTTATTCGATGAAAGAATAGGAATGATCATTCCTCCTAGACTTCATATTCATTAGTTCAAGAATTTCAATATCTTGCTGAGATATTCACAATAATCACTCAAGAAATTTTCTCTCATGTAGTATTTAATCGGGTTTTCAGATGCAAACCCTAGTTGAACAGTTGCAATTTTCAAGTTTAATTCGATATCTTATTGAAACAAAAAACTTCTGAGAATCATATATATTGAAAGTTTTATTGTTGAATTTCAACAGTTAATTTTACCTCTTTCTTTGTATCAAAGATGTCTTTTTCAGCATCTTTCTTAGCTGGACGCACACGTTTAAAAAATTTATCATCCAATTCATCGAATTTACCGGCTGATAAATCAAGTTTTGTACTTGTTGCAATAACATATATTTGATTTACACGACGTAATGGTGCACCATTGAATTTATATGGGCCTAATTTTACAAAAAACAAAACAAAATTCCCTTACAAAAGAACTAATAAAACACAAAAATTTCTTTACCAGTGACTAATAAAAGTCCGGATGATAAATGTTTCACTACAACAACACGCTACAAAGAAAAAAGATAACAAATAATAATTAGAAAAAAAATTCTTCGAAAGAAATCTAATCTCATACTTTTCCTGCATGTTTGCCAGCAACAAGAATAACAACAGTACCAGGTGTAAGTGATGAACGAAAACGACGTGGATGGGTACTGAATTTTTTCCGTTTAACAGAAAATTTTTTTGGTCGTTCTTCAGTTGGATAATAACGTGGCTAGATTAATCAATTAAATTCAAAATAAAAAAAAAATATATACATATATATATATATATATGGAAAACTAAATATACTTACAAATCGTTTTGTTCGTACAAGACGTTCTTTACCATTTCGTTCACCACCAATTGATTTCTTTTTAAGTGGTGATAATCGTTGTTTTTTCTTTTGAATACTACCAGCTGTTTTTTTAGTTTTATCTCCTTTTAATTTTGCTCGTTCATCTTTCCATTTACTAATACGATATAATGCACGTCGCTGAAACATACGACCACGTGAAAATCGCATAAGACCATTGTTACTTAATAATCGATTTGAATGTGAATTGACTACTTTTTTACCGCTAGCTGTTGTTTTAGGTTTTTTTACTTTTGATCCAACAGCAAGTGTACTAAGCGATTTTTGTTGCGGCTGTTTTGTTGTTGTAGTTGTCGTTTTAACGACGGTTGTAGTTGTTGTCGTCTTTTTCGATTTATCACCTGTTGGTACAGCTTTTGTCGAAGGAGTCGACATGATCGAGTTTTAGTTTTTCTCTAGAAAGATTATTTCAAAAAAAAAGAAAGATTTCAATGATTTGTATGATTTTTTTTGAATGAAAATAAATTAAATGAATGCAAGAACTATATATGTTTATAAATGAAATATATGCAAGGTAAAATGATGTTTATTGATCCTCCAATCAAAGTTAAGTGTTTTTGTGAATATTTAGATTATAAGTAATAAATATTTATTAAATCAACTTTTACAATGGTTTTTATTCGAAATTATTATCAATTTTATAAAATTTCTTAGGAAAATTTTAAAATTATATAACAATGAATATGATTGGTAGAAAGTATTCTCTGCATAGTTAACTGTAGTAGATGAATCATCAATCTTTAATCAAGAGTTGGTTTTGTTCCTTTCTACGCGACAAGTAATGATTTTTTTTTCTCTATCATTTTATTCTTTTAAAACTACAGAAGATTCACAATTTTTGTTCTTATCATTGAATTAGTAATAGAATTTCACTTGATAAAACTAACAATGTTTCATCAAAATTTATTGATTGTAACGTGTAACTTTTTCTTTTTTTTTGTGTTATCTATTTATCACATGACAAACTAATCAAAATCATATGTATACTTATTAAATTAACTTATTTAAAAGTATATTTGATTAATTTGATGTTTTTCTTTTTTTAACAGGAAATATACATTATTTAATCATCTTAGGTTTTTTTTATTATGTATCTATGACAAGCAGATGAATGACGATTTGTTGTTGCCACTTTCACTCGTTATGATAACACATGCATATATATATATATATATTGTATGTGTATATATATATATATAAAGACAGAAAATGTATTGTGTCCATTACTATCATTACTTTTCGTGTGCTCTCTTGTTTGAAGTAATATTGTTTAAGATGATTTGCCAAACTATAGTTATCAAAGTTAAGCATCATTACTGTTTATTTCTCTATAGATCTAATGTTTAGACAGAAATGTAAAGACGAGAAGTTCAGATTTTCTATTTGTATGTGTACATTGTAACTTAATGTGTGGTCAAGATAAGCAAACAGTTCGATTAACTACATATAACACTATACTATATGTTATTGCCAAAAACAAATTGATCGAGAAAAGAAAAAGGCAACCTATTTATGTAGGTGTCAATTGATGCTAGTTGCAAGAAATTGTTTTATAGTCTGGATGACCTTGCTATCAAATATGTAAACATCAGACAGATCGTGCGCGCCCAATTCGCGCTTCGAGGTCATATTTGACGTCAGCACCAATAGCAACAACAGTAGAAGTAAAAGTTTCTCCCTCTCTCTCGCTTTCTGCCTTTCCCTTCTTTTTGCTAATACTACTATCGTCTAATAATCATTAGGGATGTGTGTGTGTGTGTGTGTGTGCCAAATCAACATGATATGTCGATTAAAGTAAGACTAACATAAGCATAACTAAGATGCGATGCCATCTGAAACTCACAGCTTGGTATGCAATGATGCTAGTGTGTTTATATTTATGGATTAAAATAGGCCAAGAGAAAGGCATGATCATCATAGGATGGTAACAAATGAGTTATTGTCCATAATTGCTACACGCACACACAAACATCACTGTGCCATTTGTTCTCTTCTCATTTTGTAAGCGAGCAGACGAGCTAAACGGGGCCTGGGTTATAACGTAAATATAAGCAGTAGTTGTTACAAGACAAAGACGAATTGGATAGGCCCATAGAAAAGAGGAGAGCGAGAGAGAGACAGCAATTCCTCCTCTTTCGCCTTTCAACTTGTTGCTAACCCTCTGTTCTATCGACAGTGAATGTGTGCAGCCTACACAAAGATTTTTTCTTGCGGTATGTCAATATGCATAGAGAAACGTGAGAAAAAGAACATAACGATCATATTCGTTACTATTTCTTATTTTTTTTTTTATTATTATTATCATTATTATCATCTCGTATTTTGTTTGTATTTATTTAAAGATTTTCTTGTCAGAAACAATATCTATATAAAATAATACATAACTATGGTACTTAAATTACCACCACTTGAATTTACGGAAGCACTTACAGATTCACCGGAATTTCGTGAAAAATTACGACAACATGAAAATGAACTTGAAAATACATCAAATGCAATAAAAACATTAATTAAAAAATTAAATGAAGTTATGGTTGCTAATAAAAGTAAATGACAAACAAATAAAAGAATTTGTAATTATA